GACATTGTATTTCTAGATGGGGGGCAGTAGGCAGTGGTCACTCTTTGTCCATTTACTGGGCATGATTGCCTTGCTGCGCATCTGTAACGACTGCTGACATTCTTACACAGTGTGATGAACGAAACTGACATGTAGAAAAATATCCCTTATGAACTTGTAGAGATCTTCATGAAGATACGGAAGTTGGAATTATTTTTAATTGAAATAAATAGAGATGGCGCGCAGTAGATTTAAAGCGTAGGCGTAGCCTAAGTGTTGAACATAGAATAATTTTAAAGGGCAGATGCGTAATAGCAATCATGTCGATAAGATTGTTTCATGTTGTACATAATCGTTTTTTTTGTTATAGTTTAATTTCTTCATAAATAAATGATGAAAATAGATATCATTCTGAATATTATTAAATTGAGTTGTTCGAGACAATGATAGGCAATATCAAAAGAGACATCTCCACCATCTCCACCATCTCCACCTCTGAGAAAAGGTGAGAAGATTATTTATTTTCTTGCTTGTGTGTGAATACGAACTTTTTTAGAAATTTTGTGTTAGACTTGATTTAACGGAATCATCAAGATAGAAAACTTATAGGGAAAACTTATAGAAGAAGCTAGAGAACTTATCACATCGTCATGCACATAAATTCATGGAAATACATATAAATTTAAGATTTCGTCCCAGGATAAATAGCATATATGCTCTATTTTTTTTAGAATTTCCATTTAAAAGGACATGGAATTTACTATCATACACAGAACGCTAAGCTGAAATGCACGAGCACCCAACTACCGAACAATGCAAGCTCAAAATGTTAAGCAATCCGAAGTAAGTGGAAGGGTTGAAAATTGCAGTGAATAAGAAATGGAATAATCTAGTTTTATTTTATTTTATTTACTCTAGATTGCCATTTCGACTGCTTTTTCATTTGCAAAAAATGTTTTTAAAAAAAATAATGCATAAATTATTTTTTTCCCACGTGGAATAAATGTTTTTCTTTGTTAATATTTACTAATAACTTGTTATATAACTGTAAATAATGTAAAAAATATGAAAAATTAATGAAGCAAATTTCCTTACACATCAGTTATTGTTTCACAATGCAGTCATTTTGACTGCTTTTGGGCAATATAGGTATATACTAAGTTTCAATCCTTCTCGTGTTAAGATCAGTGACGGGACTGTGAGAAGCCACGCCTAATTTTTCAAACTTTATTAACAGTAAAAAAATTTATAAGTTTTTCATTGTTAACGCATTGTTAAGGGGCGTAAAACTAGCATACTAAATAAATATGAAATAATTTTAGTAATTTCTTAAAACTTGAAATCCAATAAATGAAAGTTTTTATTTATTTATTTTTTCTTTTTTTAGCTGTCGGTCGAAATAAAAAGCCATAAATCCGAATTTACTTTCAATTTTTTTTTTCGATCAAGATGTTACAATATTCATTTTCATCTCCGAGTAAATTACTTTACAAATCACTCAACACGTCTTTTGTTCTTTTTTTTTTCTCGTGAACAAAATTTTCGCTTTGTTCACATTTTTATTCATGAAGAGTCTCTTGGATATTTTGGCTACTCTAAGTAAAGAAACTTTCAAAGAAAAGTAGATGAAGTAATAAAAGAAATAAGTTCAATAGCAATGGAAAGTCATCTTCCCCTTTGAAATGTTATTCACACAAATCTTCCAACTGCATTAGCTTTTAGTCAATCCAAGTCTCACAACGACCCCTTTCTCCTCCTCCCCCCCTTAAACATTTTTCTTCATTTTTGACAAAAGAGTCACCAAATTTGTATGTCTTTACATTTCATACTTTTTCATTGCGTTACTAGATTTTTTTTGTTAAAGATGCCGTAAAAGATAAATGATTCCCGTCTTTTATTTAATGCACGTTGAAAAACCTAAAAATTAGAAGAGCTTAAATATATTGTCTCAGCTAACGGGAGCAAATCATAGACCAAATTCGTAGCCATAATTTTTTTTTTCCATTACGATATTAAAATTATTTGAGTTACATAAATCGTTCTAATTTTTATGTTTCATTTTTCCGGGTATGAAAAAATATATTGGATATTTTATAATGAAGATTTTAAAAAAAAAAAATTTCTGACAACATTTTTAACATTTAAAATTTATAAAATAAAATGGATTTAAAAATCAATAACTCTTTTTCCAATGAAGAAATAAAAAGTGAAAAAGAGCATGATGATTAGTTCTTTCATTATTATACTGCATTATTTTATTATTGAATATTGCATATTGATTCAAAAAAATTTTAATTAATTGCAGCATAATTTTAATAATGTATTAATTTCTGCAATCTCTTAAGTTACGCTGCGTTATAGGATAAAGTGGGGCAAATCGGAGCACCAAGTTTGAAATATGTTCTAAAAATAAAATAGTTAGAGCTGCTAATGCTTGTAAGAACACATTATACTTTCATATATCAAAAACTAGAATGATGTTTTAATGCAGTAACCAAGTGACAATGATACATTGAAAGTCATTAAACGCTCAAAAGGAAGGGGTCACACTTATTTCAGAAACACGGTCTTTCCTAAGGTCTTGGAAAACCACAAAATCCTATTTATTTAGTAATAGAAACATTATTAAAATCATCAAGCTCTTTATATATTCTATACATTTGTATAGATATTTGTTCTATACATATTGTTTAAATTAAATAATATTTACTTAATGTAGTAATATTAAATGACTTGAATTTGCAACGGCATTCGAAAATTATAAATGTCAAAAAGGCTTGATTTTAGTAATTCATTTAAAATAATAATAATAACCTTTTTTTTTTCATTTTGAGAAAACTATTTTATCAACAAATAATCAAAAGAAAGATTTTTTTTTTCTGGAATAATGTGCATATGTTTTGTATGATATAAAAAAAAATATTTGTTTTAAGAATAAATGCCCTTAAACCAAAAATAAATTTTTATAAAAAAAAGCAGATGAAAAAAAGTTTAAAAAAACTCTCATTATTTACTTCTTTCGCGTTTTTGAATATTTGACCAGAAAAGCATTTTATTGGAAGAAAAATTTAAAAAATGTTCGCAGACAAATTATTAGTTCAGTTTGAATGACAGAAAGTTTCTCTAACGAGTAAAACATTCCTTTGAATTATTAGCGACATGAAGATATTTGCGTACTTGTGAAGCAAATGACCAAATAGAACCTCCAATAATGTATAGTTTCATTCATGATATTTTCCCTTCTGAAAAATTAAATTTACAATCGATAGAATGGTAGATTTCCATCTACTTGGATCGTTAAAAGAGTTAAAACAATGACCATAATTCATCAAAAAATTCTGACAAGCTAGGAAAATTCTAGTTCAAGTACAACACTTTAACTTTTGCCAAATAAGCAAATTTTTTGTTGCAAATTGTAGATTTGTTTCAAGGCTAAACATAGTATAACCGATCAAAAAACCGGTTAATGTATATTATATAGTAAAGATATTTGTATGCTTAGTGTTAACATCATTCTAATTTTTATTTAGGTTGTCTATTCTATCGGATAGTTTTCTCTTATCGCTTTTGCGACGTATTAAAGTTAATGGCTAAAAAGTAAATATTTGTCTCACTTTCAATATCAAAAGACAAACAGGGACTGGAAGTTTCGCTATAATAACTGAACTAACGGAAATGTTGAATAATAATGTACTTTCAGAAACTGAACTATATCGGAGTCACTTTCTAGATTGCAGCTACCTCAATATTTTTACTGACAAAAACTCATTCCGTTCAACAAAAAAAAGGAATGTTTATTCTAGAGATGCAAAGAAACGCACAGTTTTTATGAATACACCCGAAATTTTGCAGTACGATGGGGAATTTGAAAGTAAACAAAACTAGCCACTTCCGTGATGAATTTGAGATTAACTTATACAAAATAATAACTGAAGTATAAAGAAGTAGCATTTAAACTGCTTTATAAACATTAATTAAATTGTAATTGTTTTCAATGCATTCTATTTCAAGAAATTCGTTTAAATATTCATGCAAAATTTTATTAGAAGTTGTTATCAGATAGTCGCCAATAGCCCATTGTGCAGCTCTAATGCGACGTAAATTAACAACCAACCAACCTAGAAGTTGTTGTTGTTGTTGTTCATTTACGTCGCACTAGAGCTGCACAATGGGCTATTGGCGACTGTCTGGGAAACATCCTTGAGGATGATCCGAAGACATGCCATCACAGTTTTGATCCTCTGCAGAGGGGATGTCCCCCCCCCGCTTTGGTAGCCCGATGACCTGCACGCGAATTATTGGAAGTTAATTTTAAATACAATATTTTTAAAAATCTACAAATTATTCTCAAAATACTACTGAATATATATATTTTTAAATTCATTTATTTTTGAATACAAGAGTAAATAGATTATGGTTATTAAAAATAGGTCTGGTTATAAGGTCACCGGACTAGGTCAAGAATCACTTGCAGCGGTCAGTGGGTTACGTGAGTGACCCGCGTGATCAGTCTGCCAAAGGACGGAGGCTATTAATCCTCGCTAAACTGCTCAATCGTAATGTGCTCAGCTTTGTGCGCAGATTGTCGGGCTAACAAAACAAGGGATAGCCATCCCTGGAGGATTATAATTGTGATGTCACGACTTTTTCCTCACTTTTGCAACGCTTGCTCATTCAAAACATTCCAGTTTCGTAACTTAGGAACCATTCTCTTTGAATGTAAGAAAGTCGCATATGCGATAATACTAATAAGGTTCTTCCTCGCATCTCCAAATTTGCATTTGTTAATTTTTTCTTTGCTGATTGCATATTGTGTGAATGCTCCGGAAGACAAACTTCTCGTGTATATGTGAATTACATTGACGGGGAATCACTTATGCGAATTGTATGAAAGGAGAATGCTCCATTGGCTACGCAGCTACGAATTCGTAGCCAGAAACTTTTTCAAGCCAGTCAGAATGACTCTTCCTTTTTTAATAAAATAGAAACTAGTATGAACTTTTGGATTTTCAACGCAGCAGAAACAAACAGTCAACAACTTTTCTCTAACAGAAGAAAACATTGATTTGCATCATGTTTTAGTCGGGTTTTCAAATTTAGTTCACAAAGTATCTATTTTCGTATAACCTATCTCAAAGCTTTCAACTATTGTAGAATTAAGAGTGTGTTCAGTTGAGAAAATTTAATTCATCTTACCGCAATATATATAAATTTTGTTACATGTGTAAATATAAATATTATTGAAATCAGAGTGTCATTAAATCACTTATTATCACTGTAAGTTAAATTAATAAGTGAAAGTATTATTAAAGGATCGTCGGTCTATTGCGTAAGTGAAAATTATCTTATTACGCATTCATTGTAAGATTACATAACATGATGATTGCTTNACTGCTTCACGAGAGGGCAGTGAGAACGTTTCCAATCATGGTGTCACGACAAAAGAGCAGTGAGAATCGAGGCTTGAGACTATTTATTGTGTCGTTTTGCGTTTCCAATTTTATTTTGCAAGGGTCACGGTGCTCAGCTATTTTTTCGAGTGACTGTAAGTTAATTCACCTTCTGATCCATACTTACTACTTACTACACGAATTTACAAGCTTTTAGATTTTCAGCGCAGCAGAAACAAACAGTCAACAACTCTTCTCTAACAGATGAAAGCGTTGAATTGCATCATGTTTTAGTCGGTTTTTCAAATTTAGTTCACAAAGTACCTATTTCCTTCTAACCTATCTCAAAGCTTTCAACTATTATAGAATTAAGAGTGTGTTCAGTTGAGAAAATTTAATTCATCTAACCGCAATATATATATAAATTTTGTTACATGTGTAAACATAAATATTATTGAAATCAGAGTGTCATTAAATCACTTATTATCACTGTTAGTTAAATTAATAAGTGAAAGTATTATTAAAGGATCGCCGGTCTAGTGCGTAAGTGAAAATTATCTTATTACGCATTCATTGTAAGATTACATAACATGATGATCGCTTTAAAAACCATTTGTCGAAATTTTCTAATCTTTTTTTTTTATGATAACTATGCATGGCTTTTAAATATATTATGAACCACACCTGTAGAATTAGTAGCAATGTAAAAATTCACTTATATAAATATTTGCTGTAAATGTGTTCTTAATGTTTGTAAGCAAATGCAGTGAAAGAATTCACTGGTTTTTTAAACTCCTGAAGTTCCTCATGGTACTTATTAGAATTTCCCTTGTATAAACCGGAAACAAAAGTTTACTAATTTTTATGTAAATCAAGGTTGTATACAGTTAATTTATGCACAAAATAAAATTGACAGTTATGACCTTTATTTAAGGATAAAAGAAGTATGTGTGTTTACTCATTAATCTATTACTCTTATTTAAATTAATTGGTCATTAAATTTGTAAATTATTTTAGCTTTTTGACTAAACAAATAAATTTGTTAATCATAATAGACCAAAGTTCTGCTAATTGCTTATTTCTCAAATGAATTTCTTTCAGTTGCTTACTGTTTTTTTTAAAGATTTATTTTATTTTTTTAAATTTGGTAGTTCTTTAGGATACTAAATCTTGAATTATCTGATTTTTAAAGTTCAAGAGTGGAAAATTTATCTGGTGACCACTGGAGGTAAATTTATTGGTGGCCACTTCTTGGCCTCAATAATAATTTTGCCTCTAAATTATTATGTAAAGAAAATCTTAATTTTTTATCTTGAAAAAAAAATTTATTATTAGCAATTAATAGCATTAGTGTATGGATAGTTGACTGACTGTAAACAATAACAAGCTTCTTAAAAATTTAGAAAACTTCAGGTGTATCCCTCCACTTATGAGGCGATGCGTGAACAGGCTTAATCTAGAAAGTTTTATTATTGTTTGTAAATTTATGCATAATTTTACCATTCATAAGCATTTTCGGTAATTTATAAATTCTAACAAGTCGTGAGTCTTAACGAATTTAAGAAAATTAATATCACAACGTAAATAAAGCGGTTGCTACCCACTTGGAAAACCTGGAAGTGTCTGACAATATTTTTGTTCTGGAAAAGTCAGTAAAATTTTTTTACTTAATTTAAATTATTTTGCCATCTATTATACCTCCTTCTTTTAGATGGAACAGTTGAAACATCGTCATAGCAATACCTCTCTTGTATTAAATTTTTTTTCATAATAACTCTGTTAAACTAAAATGTTATCTGAAACTCTCCTATGGTTGCTAAATGAATAAAGAAATTGTTTTCTGGAAAATTTTAAAAAAAACTTTCACCTTTAGGGAAATTGTTGTTATGAAAGGCAAAGATTGCAGTGGAGGTAGAAGAAGGGGTTAGGATATTTTCTGTTTACAAAAGTAGTTTTTTTTCCTCTTCTTGTCCATGGGCGGAATTCATCTATCCTTCAAATTTGTTCCGATGCTTTGACTTTTTTTTTTCTTCTTTTGACAAAATGATTCAAAATGTTTTAGTATTTTCAACTTTATAAAATTCTCCAAATATTAGTTGGTTATAATTTAATAATATATTTAGATTGCACTCTTTCTTTTTGAAAACCTTTGACCCTCCCATCCTCTGAAATCAGTGAATTATTTTTTTTTCCCTTCAAAACCAATTAAATACTCATTTTCGTACAATCCCTAACAGCAATGTCTGTTGACAAATCTTTACAGCTATTGTTGTATTGATACTAATTTTCTAGATTTCATTTCAACTTTTTATAAAATATTTTATTTTAGAAAAGATTCGTTTACGAACCAACTGTATGGTAACAGTTAATTTTATTGTTTAATCAAGATTTCTATTTCAGTTGTCTTTAAGAGATCAAAATCAAACAAGATTGAGACTTATTTTTTGCAAATTGAGAATTTGCGCGTCCCAAAGGATTAGTCAGCAACCTTGTCCTCAACTAATTTTTTCTATATTTGGTGTGCTATACTGCTTAGCAAGAATTACTGGATGCTCAAAGTTTATGTTAAATCTCAAAATGCCGCAGTTCACTTTTTATTACGGTGATTAGGGATTATCCCTTTGAATTGTCAAAGTTCTCGAAAATGCACTAATCCTTTGGCACCATCATTATGAAAAACAATTTTTAAAATAAATATTCTAAACTCATTAAATTTATCAAATAATAATGCCAAAAATAATGTGAGTGTAAAAATATGTAATAAAAAGAATCAAATCAAAGTAAAAACCTTTATTTTTTTATAATTACACATTGAGTTATTCTTAAGTCTTATCTTATATATTATAAATCATTATTAGATATGCCACTGCACTCTCTTCACATCCCAAATTTGATTCATTTCATTGCAGAGTAAAAAAAAAAACAATATATTTCTGCAGCACGTTCAGGAAAACAACGCAGGTAGGCAAGGATTATACAGTAAATATGATAAAATTCGTGGTAATTGGCGCAGAAGTTACCTTTTAACGATAATTGTTAGATTAATAAATGCTAAAAGCTTTTATTTGAATTAAATAGCATAAAAATAATGAGCATAGATTCAATCTCATGCATTCAACTTGAGTTAGTAACGTCATGGTCTGCGGGGATCGGCTAGTTTCTTTTAATTTGCTGTTGGTCATTCTCGCATGAACCATGATGTCATCCGTTTAAGGAAAATTTAAGCTCCTGTTGAAGCATTATTATTTGTATTCGTTCTTTCTTTTCGTTACTCATTTCTCACTATGTTTGTGAGAGTATGTCTACCAGTTTAATATGTTTTTAAAATAAGTTTATTGAATTGGAAACTTCGTTTTCTTACTTTTTTTGTTGATAAGCACATACAATGATATTCTGTGACAATCTTGGATGTCAATAATATCCGGTTTGGCAAAAATGGTCGACGAAATAATCCCAAAGTACGAAAATGGTTGGCCGGATTATTCCAAAATACCTTTATTTTAAATGACATAAAAATATTTTATTATTTGCATTCTGTACTGTTTTTTATCATGGGTAGAGGCTCATGTCTATTTGGGCTGTAGGAAATGTGTTTTGATGAATATACATTTCAGTATTTATTATTTAATGCCTATATTTTAATCATAATGATTTTATTTAAAGATCTATATTATGCTAAGAAGAAGTCTCCGTTTCTTACATCCACCAGCAGAATGGCTTTGCTGCTGCTATAAAATACGACCAAATTTTCATTCTGCTAAAGTTCTGTGTTCTGCAAATGATCGACACTTACCAAATCCTTCACTGCCTACTCCTGCAAGTAAACTTTACAGTCATGACGCAGGTAATTTTTGTTATCTAGCCAATTTAGGTTATTCTTTTTTGGTAATTTCATGGTAAGAGGGGTATGCTAATAAGGTAAGAGAGCAAGATTTTTTTTTTAAAGAAAAAAGAATTAGATTTTTTAGATTCAGATATGATTAAGATTTTATTCTTTAGATAAAATAGCATCTCTGGCTGACAGACTGTTTAAAATGTATGCTTAATTTGATTATAACTGGCATGGGGATTTTTTTTAATTCGGCAGACAATAACAGGGGTGATTGTCTTTTGTATGAAAATCCTCTGGGTATAAAAATTCAGAACGTGGCATATGGTTTTTTAAGCGAATATTGTGGAATTCTGCATTTTTTAGGTTCGTTGGTTGTTGGACTTACGCTAATCAAAAACTTATCCAAAATTTCATGGGATTCTAAAATTTAAGTTTTGGCATTTTCGCTAAATCCTGTTAACGAGACGTTTACGTACATGTGATTTTGGTGATTCGGTGGATTTTCGCAATTTTTCGGTAATTCAAAAGCTACTCATCGTGATTCATATTCACTTGTTTTTAAGACCAATGTCTCAATTCATATTGGATTTTAATATTCAATGACGCGATTTCTATTCATGCGATGGTAAAATCCAATATCACAACTTATATTCACACAATTTTAAAATCCAATTTTGTGATTCTAAGAATTAAGATTTTTCTTAACTCTTTTAGTGTTCTTCATTTCTATTGTACTGTTACCTCTCAAATTTAGATTTATATTATCTTGTGATCAATATAGTAACTTTGGCAACAGTGTTACCCAGGTTCGAAAAAAAAATAAATCAAGGAATTATTTGCAACATTGAAGATCTAAAATAATTTTATTGATACTAAATATTTAGAAAAACAAAAAGAAACTCACATCATTTCCAAATGCCTCAGGTTTAAAATTTAGCAATACAAAATTATATTTTCAATAAAATGCAATTAAAAATATAAGGCACAATATCTCTAAATCCAGTAGGAACAAATAAAAGTAAAAGGCACACTTATCGTAAAATCTACTAAAAACAATTAAAAATAAAAATCTAAAACCAAACTTAGGTTTAAGGAATGTTTGATAACTTTTTAAAGCATATAGCATTGTTACACATTGCTAAAAAATTTTTTTAATTGTTAAAGTGGACCTCTGTACCCTATCCTCCCCTACAGCATAGGGCATGGAAGACTCTTTTTCATCTAATTTCTGTATGTCTTTTCATTTTTAGTTCATTCAATTAATTTTTTTAAAACTATATTTTTCAGACATCTTATTTGAGCAAATACGAAAAACCAAAAGTATTGAGAGGTTGCTAGATTTAGTTTCCATGCATTTAGATGTTATGAATACTAAACATATTGTAGAATCAATGCAGATAGTCAATGATTTTTCTAAGTAAGTATAAAATTATGTAAGTAATTACCTAAGTAAGTAATTACGATAAATTATGAAAAATGTATGATCTTACTTGTAATTGACTTTATTTCAAAATAATTAGTGTATTATAAATTTGTGTATTTCAAGGCAGATGCCAAAAATTTAACTGCTATTTTATTAATATTCTTTAAGCTTTCTTAAATTTCTTAATGCTTATAATCTGCACTTATATTTTAATTTTCAATTACTAATGTCAGTTTTAGTTAGAGTATGTCAAAACATAACATAGTAACATATCAATGTTCTGGAAAGACTTTTAATACAAGCTATTTGTTTCTTATGTCAGTAAATTTTCAGAAATACTGTGAATAATTATTTAGAAAATATAATCCTATTATTTTATGAAATTGCACCAAAAGGTTGAAAAATCATTATACAGTGAAACATTGATTAAATGGGCACTCCTGGGGCTGAAAAAATTGTCTGCTTATAATAGTTGTCCTTTTACAACAGAGAGGTAGACTAATAATGAAGTTTAATGCCATAAATTATTTTTAGAATAATTGCAATAATATGGAAATATTTAAATCTATTATAACTATTCACATTGATATTTATTTAAACTTTATAAAATACTTTTTTCAATCCAAAAAGAATATATAAAAAGGTTTAATATATACATACACAGTTCTGGAAATAGCAGAGAAATGAATATGATTTTCTGAAACACAGACATTCAAGTTCAGGGGTCTGTCCAAACATTTTGTGAAAGGTCCTGTGTTTGTAAAATTGTGAAAGAACTGTTCATAATTTGTGAATATAAAATAGGCGTTAAGTCACATTCTTTCTACCAGGGTCCTGCTTTTGTGAATTTGTGCAAATAGGGCCCTGTTAGCTCAAAAATTCCTAAAAACCTTTTCAAGAAGTTTTTAAATTGTAAATAGATACAAGATTCTGTTCAACAATCGCTGCAACATACAAATATTTGGTATTTAGCCTATACTGCTCAACATAGAATATTCATTTCGAACGAATAATGGAAACAAAATCACTCACATTTTTAAAAATTTCAATTGACATATTTTATATAACACAACTTAGTAATGTATCTATTTTAATGTGTTACGCATTAAACAATTCTTAAATTTATAATATTTTTTTTTTAAAAATTGGCATAAGTTAATTTTTATTTGCATAATATTTTATTCAATTAATTTTATGAATAATATATTCATCAATTATTTATCTGCAAAAAAAAATCATTTAATATCAATAAGACTGTACACACGATGTTTGTAGAAATATTTTTTTAGAATACTACATTTGGAATTTATAATTTTTTTTTTGATTTTGAGGAGGTTAAGGTACATAATATAAACAGGGCTTAATCCAGGGTGATTTTGGTACCGTTTTTCGGTACCTTCACAAAATTAAAAAAAAAAAATCGGTACCTTCACAAAATTAAAAAAAAAAAAATCGGTACCTTCACAAAAAGAAATCAATACTTCAACAAACTTTGAAAAAAAAAACGCATCTTCACGAAAATAAAAAAGAAAGTTAGAAGGAATTAAAGTGCTGAATAGTTTTCCGAGCGGTTCACGGAAAAGTGAATTCACAGTGAACGCCGTATGGTACGCCATCGGACGGCGTTCCGCGCAACCGCACTAGCTCGAAAACAGACTTGATATGCTGACGTCACTTCTCCTAAATACGCCATTCAATCGAAGTGAGTGGTGAAGTTTTTATACTAGGCAACCGGCTAAATTGAGCCAGCGCGTAAACAACTCAACTCATTTTCCCAGACAAGTGTTTTTTNTAAATTTATAATATTTTTTTTTAAAAATTGACATAAGTTAATTTTTATTTACATAATATTTTGTTCAATTAATTTTATGAATAATATATTCATCAATTATTTATTTGCAAAAAAAGAAAAAATAAATAAATCATTTAATATCAATAAGACTCTACACACGATATTTTTTTAGAATACTACATTTGGAATTTATAATTTTTTTTTTTGACTTTGAGGAGTTTAAGGTTCATGATATGAATGAAATGATCAAACTTAGTCTTAGAATTAAAGCAGAGAAACATGATTAACAAAATATTAGAGCAATATACGTCGATTGCCAGTAGATTTGAAAATAGCACTCAGCATCAATTTTTCTCGCCCATTTACAATAATACTCAAATGCCTCTTGTGAAGGGTCCGATTAAAAGAATTGTTAAATTTATATTAATTTATTTAAAAAATTGTCAGAAATTAATTTTTATTTACATATTATGCAATTAATTAATTTTATGAATAAATATAAATTGATCAGTTATTTATTTACAAAAAAAAATTATGATTTAATATTAATAAGAATGCACACACAATGTTTGTAAAAGTAGAAATATTTTCTTAAAATACTAAATTTGGAATTTAAACTTAGGGAAACTTAGTTTGTCTTGAACCGGCTTCCCCCCTACTCCTGAAAAGGTTAATTCGACTAACAGAACAATAATGAAGATAAACAAATTTGTGAAGGGTCCCATTAAAAGATAAATTATTTTGTGAAGGGTCCGTTTTTATGAAAAGACATTTTATGAAAGGGCCCGTTAACGGACCCAAATTTCTTCTACACAGACCCCTTAAATTAGTCATATATGATACTGAATATGAGATTTTTGTCCAATGTCACTTGCTCAATCAGTTTAATTATTAGGTTCACACCCCCTAACACCTCCCCATCACTTAGGAAATGTGATAATACCTCCTCCTATTATGGGACCTACATTTACATCTATTCATTCTGATTTTGAATTCACATTTATATCTATGCTTATAGCTACGCTATATATTATTTACATATATTTCCTATTAAAAACCATTTTGATCACTTTTCCATTCCATAAATTATTTACCACTTTTGTTTTTCAAACGAATGAAGTTTAATTTTATTATTTTACTTGAAAAAAGCTGTCCTGGTACATTTTTTATTGACACATCTGCATTTTGTAATTTAAATTTTATAATTTGGTTGTTTTCTCAACAAAAAAGGAATTAAAGCAATTTTTTAATTAAAATTTTGCAAATTATGTAGTTTCTTGACTATTATTAGCTTTATTTTTCCTACATTAACAGCAGTGTATTTTTTTTATACAGAAAACCTGATTTTAAAGACCAGAATCTCATGGAAAATGAAATATTTCAAGGTCTTTGTTCACGTTTGATGAAGTCCGTTCGATTGCTCGGACCTCAGGATATCATTACTGTCTACAAGACACTGTCGTCCATTGGGGTCCGAAACAACACTTACGTGATGCAGTCTATCCTGAAGATGATGGGGGCACAGCTCAATCACATGTCTTTGGGTCAACTGATATTCTTACACTTTCTACTCTCTAGGCAGAGGGCCAATTCTTTGGTGGATGGTCTGAAATTAGCCCTGCCTCTTGTTCTGCAAGTGCAAATAGAACAGCAGCTTGATTCAGATAATCTTGACGAAGTTGTTAACTGCTTGCAGTTGGCCTGTAGGTCCAGACTAAAACCTTCTATCATTGAGGTCAATTGCTTGCAAAAATTTTTTTCTCTCTCTTTTTTTGCATGAAACACAGAGATTTAATTTTATAGTTAATTTTTTTACTTTCCTACTCTCTTAAGGATATTTTCTTTTATGCTATCTTTCACTCCACATTCTATCTTCTGCATAATTGGAAAATGATATACAGTAGAGAACCAATTATCCGGGATGCTCGGGACCATCGCTATCCCGGATGTCTGAATTTCCCTGTTTTCTGGATCGACCAAAAAGTGTCGTTAATCGATGTTTTATCGAACCCGAATTACAAGGAAAAAGTGTAATGCATAAAGTAAGAGAAAAAAAGAAAGGTACTCCTAACTTTAAAAAGAAGTAAAAAATGGTAGAAAAATGACATTTAAAAGAATAAAAAAATTTGTAAGTTTAGACAAGAAAAACAAGATTAAAAAATACAAAATTCTCGTATTTATTTTTTTAAAAATAATTACAATTCCTAAATTAACTAATATAAACAAAACCAATGGTTAAATAACGCAATATATTTCATACCTAATTATACGGGGGAAACGATAAAATAAAAGGAAAACTTATTAATCTAAATAAAAACACTTGAAAATTATCGAACCGAAACAATATTTAAAAAAGGCATAGCATAAATATTGAAACCCGGAACAAGGCAAGATCAATAGAATTTTAAAATAAACCTAATGATAAAATTTATGAATAAAAAGAATTAATTTATTGAGTGCGAAATTTATCGTGAAAAGAAGAAAAAAAACAAATGTAGTGGAATCAGAAAAACAAAGCTGCAATCTGCTTCATAAAATAATCCTATGTTTAAATTAATAAACAATTCTCCTTTTATTTATTTCTTTTGTTGTTGATAAAAACACGATATTTAATTACAGCAGATGTGATTCCACATTTATTCAGAAGAAAAAGATTTTATTTTTATTAATCGATGTCAAATAGATAAATATATTTTTCTCTTTCATCTTCTGTTCACTGATATGCATGCAATGCATTTTCCCCACCCCCCTCGTAAATTAAATAAAAAGCGAAATCAGCATGCCACACCCTTGAGCTTCATTGACGGCCTAAAGGAGAAAATAAAACATTCCTCCCTTCCCTGCCTTCAAGGTCACGGAGGAAATGACGTTTCTCTGGGTAACCGGGGAAAAATTCTCCCCTTCTTTACATTTTCCTCTACTCAACTTCAAGGATGAGTTCATTTCCGCTTTTTTTCATAATCGTTCTAGTTTAAAATGGCGAGAAAACCGATCAAAATTTTTCCCGGTTATCTGGATACTGGATAAATTTTTCTCTACTGTATTAGCATAAGATTCATTTCTTTTATGAATAATTTGTAATTTATGAAAGTATTATTAATTTTAAAAATAAATATGTGTATATGAAGTTTTCTACTTCATTGACCAGTTCAGAAATGATTGGGCTCTGGAAGAAATTCAGATCCTCAACCTATTCTTTTAGGTGCTCTGGTCCTTGGAACTAACAGAGGCTGCAATTTTTCCCCATCCATGGATAGTACACATTATTTCTCTAATACTGCATCGGTCGTTGCACATTCAAAAAAGGCCCATGTTCGATAAATAAACCACAGTCTCCAAATAATTTAAAGATCTTGCAATTCAATATCAATGGCTTTCCATTTCGCATCAGATTCATCAGCAGTGGATTCCTTTCCACGTCAATCTTGAAGGAAACAAGATTGCGGACTCTTCGGCTAAAACTGGTGCTTGTGAGGCCTCTGTGCCGTCGACACTCCTTACCTTTTTGGAAATCTTCTAAAAAATAAAACACAAAAACAAGACCACTTGGAATGTCCTCCCAAAGCACCCATGGTATCGGTGTTCACGACCTGGAGGCTCCCTGGCCCAAGGTTTTAATAGACAGGAACAAACTTCTCTTGCCTGCTTTCAAAGTGGTCACCTTAAATCAATGAAATTTTTGGAAGGATCCAAGAACTTTGAAATTTTGTTCAGACCAGGCTTCGCCTCACCACATCGTCGCATGCCTGGGGCTCACCAAACAGGATTTTGCAGATGATCCATTGTCGGTGTTGGATTTTTTGAGGGTGTAGAACGTCATGGACCTGCTCTAGCACTGCTGGCCAATGGGGTCGTGCAACAACAACAGAAATTCAGATTTTTTGCTAACCGCAATCCAAAAATTTCCAATCAGGTCCAGAAGTTTCAAGAAATCATTGTTCACATTTATGTTTAAGAGTTCTTATATATTTTATTTAAAAATAGTAGAACTAGAATTTGTACTTGGCATGATGTAAATATTTTTTCTGGTAGAATAGTAAATGAGATTAGGCTCGTACATAATTATTCATTTAAATTATGCTGCATATAATTTATTTAGAATTTCATGTCGTGAAAATATCAATGATTTAAATTTATAAAGACATAAATTTTTTGAATTGCATCATTAATGATTTTACTGAAGAAATTTTCGGGATTTTTGAGTTGGGCTCACAATTATCCCTGCCAGTTTTTTTAAAAAAAGATTATGTTTATATTAAGAAGTGTGTTTAAAGAAAAATCTTTACAACTGAAATTGGTAACTTACAAAAATTTTTTTTGAAAATTATTTGTGAAAATTTTTAGTTTTAAAAAAATCATATACCATTTGAGAAATTACTTTGTGTTGTTACTTTTTTATTTATTTTCATTCACTTTTTTTTTTGTTGCCTACCTCTCATATTCTTGACCTCTGTTCCTCCTTTAAACCTATAAAACATATTATCCAGAAAGCAGAGAATGGAAACCATTTTTAGAATAGTTTGAAATTAGGAAATGGTTTATGATTAGAATATTAATTATGATGCCCCTATGATTAAGAAATATTTTCAATCAGAATTGTTTTATTGTCAAGAAATTTTTATGACTGCCTTAACTGTTTGTTATCTTGCAAAATATCTTTGTTACCAGGTTTTATTATATACTTTTATTTAGTACAGTATTGAAAATCAAAAGATGTAAACATTTACAGATTTTGTTGAACATGAATATTTGTAAATGACTATTTTTTAGTGATACAGATGATCGGATATCTGTATCAAGTATTTCATAAAGTTTTGTATTTCATTCTTTATCATAACTTACTTTACTTCTTTATGACCATTTGCATAATCAGCATAGAAAACACTTGAAAGAGATGTGCAAAACTTAACAGACATGCAATGTAACAGTTATTTCTAGTAAATAATGTTTTTCCCCTTGTAAAACTTTTTTGATTCGATGATACAAAAGCATAAATGAAGTAAATAATAGTTATTTAATTTTTTTTCTCATATCTAAACTAAAACTACTTTTCCTGAGAAAATAATAACAAAAAAATATGTAAAAAACTAGCAATTTAAAGATGTGTGCAACACTTATACATGAAATATCGCTTTGCTTGAAACAAAAGTTTGGTCCCATGAGTCAACAATCAATTATTGTATTTTACATGTTAACATGAAATTTTTAAGCTGATTATTGCTCAACATGAAGGGAAAATGCAGAGATATTAAGCATGTGAATAAAATCCTAATCATTCATTTTGAGGAATGCTATTTCTATTTTCTTTCTTTGTTAAACGTAGCAGATTGGCAAATAAATAAAATAGTAAAAATAAAATAGTTTAATAAAGTAGTTAGAACTTCTTATTAATTTGTTTGGTTTATAATAGTATTGTTTGATTATATTAATGTAGTACATAACATGTATTAAAAGTGTGTAATAAATTGTTTTCATGATGTAATGAAATTCGTTTAACATGAAATAATTATGTTAGTCCCATTGATTTTGCGTTTGACTGTACATGAAACACATATTGCATACTGTATAATTTATATATTTAATGTGCTTTACTTTTTGCCATACAATTTCTTAAAACAAATTATTTTTATAAAGAAGATGGAATACTTTATTATTTGGCATAACAACTGAATTCAAGAAAACCTCAGACAGATTATTTTATCCAGTAACCTAAGAGGTTGATAACCTTAAATTTTCAACAAGTGCTAATTCTGGGACCAACTTATTGGTGAACATGCATGCACAAAAATAGATATTTTAGATAGATTTTTCATGATTTTACAGTCAAATATAATGGGGCAACTGACATATGGTATCTGAACTAAAATTACTTTTCCAGTGAGTAAAGTAAAAAAAAATAAATAATAATAATTGGAAGAAAAATGATATTTTAAAACACAGTAAGTGAGTTGTTTATTAATACTTAAAATTTGTTTTAACGCTGTATCATTAACTTTGTATATTTTTCGGATGATTATGTCAGTTTGTATTTTGCCTGCATCAATTACATTTGTTTTGTTTTCAAATTTAAAAAATAAAAATAATTTATTATTTACTAAATATAACAAATTTAATAATTACTAAATTTATTATTTTATTAAAAATTAACTTATTTTATGCTGTTTTTTTACTTCTTTTTCTATTCTGAGACATTAATTGATATAATTTTTTTCAGAGAGTCATGTCTGTGGTCCTACAAAAAGCAAAACTTCTCTCTGCATCGAATGCAGTTTCAATTGCATTTGCTCTGCTTAACTTGGAAACCCCCGTGGATGGTTACAAAGAACTTATAGGTTACAGTTTTGAAATTTTATCGAAGAACAGCGATTCTCTGAATCAGAAGCAGACTCTCTCCATTCTACGCCTCTGCCGGGGCCAGGGTTATTACAACAGCAGATTCCTGTTTGCAGTGGCAGACAAGGCCATTTCTGAGAAGTGGAACTTTGAATCCACTTACGAAACTGTTTCTTACTTCTACAAGATGAATTTTGCTCCCCAATACTTCATCGATTATTTTGTGGACGTTATATGTTCCGAAGCCGATACCTTAAGAACTAAATTGATCTACTCCCCCCTGAATTGTTTAGAATATCTCTCCTTAACTGCCTACCCTCCACCTAGATTAGACGAAGCGCTAGAGATACTCTGTTCTTTAGATCAAAAGATATCCAACCTAACAGAAAAATCAACGAGCCTTCTTGTCAAATTAATCGGCTGTTCTGCCACATGTGGACATTTTCCTAGAAAATATATTGAATTAGTTTTAAATTCTGACTACTTGTTCAGTGCGTGGTCACAAAGTAAGAAACAAGGTAATTGTTTTTTTTTATTGGAATATAATTAGGTCAANTTTAAATCATGATTTAAATCGTGATTTAAATCAAGCTGATTTAAATCAACGAACCCTGAATATAATTAGATCAATAGTCAATTATTTTGCATGTATTTTTTATTATTTAACAGAACATAGAATGCGCATTTCTTTTAATGTAGTTTATTATTTCTAATTTAAACTTAAAAGGGGGCAAAGCAAATGTAATCCTTAACTTAAAGTTAGAAAAATATGTAAATTGTTAAAGAAAAGATAAATTTTACATTTGAATTTATTTATTTGAATTAGATATTATTTATTAGATTATATGAATTAGATTAGATTATTTTGTTGTCCAGGATGTGATATTGTGAATGATACAAAGTTTATTTCATGGTTGTTCTTGATCTCACAAATGTTTAAAGCTCTACTGAATCGTAATGACAGAAAATAGTTTTAAAATTTTATTTTGTTTGAAGCCTTGATTAAATTATAAACTCTTGCTAAAACTTGTGTTGTTACATACAAATACCATATTTTGAATAATAGTTCTTTATGTAACCATCTCTTTTTGATATGTTAAGATCAACTCTAAGTGAAAAAATAACACTGCAGCAAACTAAATGCAAAATAAGTTTAAAATTAAAATAATGTTAAAGTGAGTAATGAAGAGAATTTAACTCAAAATTTTTTGGATCCTTTCAAAAGTTGAAATGATTTTTTAACTATTCCAAAACATTTTAGTGGCTTAAATTAATGATAGTCAATTTGAACCTATATCAAAACATTCACATTTACTCTGATAGTTGTAAATATAAACTTCAAATTGGCATAAATGAACATTCTGGAAACTCTTAATTTAAAAATACAAAGAGGCTATGAGTAAAAATAATGTTGACGGATGGTTTATTAAGAGAACGTCACACCGCGGAAGAAAATTTCTGTTGTAAATTCTATTTCTCCTTCATTCCTAATTTAAAAGAAAGAAAAGTAAGTTCAGGCAAAACTAGAGTAAGTCATGAAGTTTCAATTGCTGAAAAAAATACTTCAAAAGATTAAAATATAAACAGATTATTAGAAGAGAACTTAACCTTTGCGTAATCCTAAGTTGGAGGCCTTAACAATTTTGAATAAATACAAATGGATGTGCTTTGTTTATAAAAGTATGCATGTTAAATTTAGTTTTGATTCATTTGCAATGAAAGAGGGATATTTTTGCAGTCATTAGAATTTCTTTGGATTAGTTTAGTAAAAAAAACATCTTTACAAAATCCTTTACATATCCATCCAAAACAGCTTTGCAAAATCCATTTTGCTCTAAGAAATTTAATTTTTTAAAAAACAATTTTTTTAAAACAAGAAAATTGCCGATTTTTATTTGTACGTTGAGTCTTAAAGCATTATGCTTAAGAATCTATATTCAAAAGAAAAGATTTAAAATTTTTAAAATCTGCAGCCATTTTTTTTTATATGTTAAAATTATTAAAAGGAATTTTATCCCCCAGTCGGGCAGTTTATCTTGTAAAAATTATCTTTTCTATAACTTACGATCCCCAAAAATATGATTAAAAAAATATGGTAATGGTTTTATAAATAGATGGTTTTTAATATGCTTTAAAATTGTAACTGTTCTGCATTTGCAGATTAGAAAATTAAACTGTAATCTGCTTCTTTTATTTATTTTCATAGTAATTTCCATGTTTCTGCAAAACTAGTCTGTGTTTTAAATTATTGTTTTCTAAATTACTCAACAATGATTAACTGTTATATAACAAAAAACAAGTAAAAGTAAAAGGTGAGTATTAAAAATTGACAGAAAATCTCATATGTATTGTGAAAATATTTTATAATTATGCCACATTAAGATTTTTTTTATTTTTATCATTCATAAGAACTTGATTATTTTAAATATAAATGACTTTTTTAACTTCAAAACAATAATTTAACTTGGATCATTTTTAGAATGGTTTGGTCCCTAGAACAGTGATTGCCAAAAGTTTCTGTTACAAAAATGTTATAAGATCATAATTATTTATTAGATAATTTTAATGTGTACTTAAATTTCATTTTTTCTCCACTTTTATGTTTTCTATTTGTGTTTTTAGGAAGGGGGAGAGATTTTGAAATTAGCATTTCAGTTTTAGCTTGGAGTTTAGAGGTCTATGAACAATCTGAGTCTTATAAATTTCCACCAACTGTATTACAAAAACTTTTGTCTGCTGCAGCTCAAAAGTATGAAGACTATCAAAGCCCTATTGAAAGCTTCATTCAGCATGGAATAGGAGGTGCTCAATTTCTGCAATCTGGGCTTTTCACTCAAGATGGAATTTTCATAGGTTTGCTATTTAACTGAAAATTGTGATTATGTGTGTTGTTTCCTTGCAATGTTTTATTTAATACAAGCCAGAAAAAATATGGTTTAGCAGTTTTGTAGTAAATGAACTTTTGCTTCATATCTGCTCATGCTTGCCAAGTCTCCTGTGTTTTAACGAAGACTCCTTTACTTTATGCCTATCGCCTGTTTAACCCTATATTCTCAAATTTTTCCGCATTTATTGAAGAAATTTAAAAAAATATAAAAATTTGGCAATAAAATATCATTGATGACAAAAATACTTCTCTTATTCCTCAACAGATGGTGCTATTGCCAGTTCTGCAGTATGTTGAGTGTTAACAGGTTAAGTAGAGCCGTGGTGACTCAAGGAATAGTGCCTTCACTTTCCAATTAGTCGAACCGGGTTTGAATCCCAGCGACAACTGGTCGATTCCAATTCAGCATCCGGCTTGCACTAGTAATTGTAGTGCTAATGTAAAATATTCTCAGTGGTAGACGGATGTTGGGTCAGAGTCTCCTTTCCTTCAGGCTAACCGTGGAAGGTTTTCTTTTCCATGTAACGCAAATGCAGGTTGGTTCCATCAAAAAGTCTACCATGAAGGCAAATTTTTCCTAATACTTGATCCAGGAGTTCCCTTGTCTTCTGGATTGGGTTCAAAATTACAAGGCTGTGAAGTTGAACGTTAGTAGTTGTAAACTCAAAATTGGGTTATAAAATAGTATAATAAGTATATAATAAAATAGTCAGTTATAAAATAAAGCATTTACCTTGATTAAAATGACAAGTTCTGATAGTAGAAAATTGAGTTACCAAGATTAATTATAAGTAATTTATAGTAATCATAAATAATTGTTTTAAGAAGAACTTCTTTAGATTTATATGCATATTTTTTACTGTGCTACATGTAAGTGCTTATATTATTTCCAATTTTGAATTTCTCTTTTTGACTTACATTATTATGCCTGATATATTGAAACTTCACGCGTTCCTTAAAAATTGTCGCTAGTAAAATCTCCGTTATTTTATTTCTGCAATGTTGGCAAGTATGCCTTTATTCCTGATTTTTTTTCTTTGAACAATTTACCTATGTTAATAATTCAATTTAATGTTACATTTTCATTTTCAATAACAATTATTAGTTATTGGTTCTTTAAACCTGATCTTTGTGGTACAGAGATCTTAAAGTTTCAGATTTAAAATATAATAGATTCTGTGCTCTTAAGTTTAACACCAATCTATTATAGTAACTGGTTTAGTCTGATTTCATTTTATATCCTAATATAATGTGTGCAAATCCATCAAAATTTAAGGCTCTTACAAATTATTTTTTTCCAGTGGTAGTGAGCTGAAATTAACATTTTCAAAACAACTTTTACAAAATATTAGTTATATTTTAAGAACATGCCTCTTTATCGATACTTTTTAAATTATTTGCATGCTTTGATGGACAAATTTCTTTTAATTCTGATTTAAATTACTTTTTTAGCCAACTGGAAAAATATTTTCTGAGACTACAGAAATCTTATAGTTGATAGAATGTATGTGAGGGAGAAATTTTTTTTTCTTACTTTTTTAAAATCTTCACATTTTTAAGTTCAGAATCCCTTCAAAAGCAAGTACTTTAATCCTTAAACAATTTTCCTTAATTATTCCTTAGCAAATTAGTTTAATAATTGTGTGGAACTTGCTTCAGTAGTTCTTAGAGATAAAAAAGAAAGAAAGTAAAATTAACATTTAAGGGGGATCAACTTTCTAACATCTCTACTAAACTATTGGAGCCCTATTTCCCAACTAGTGGCTGCCTTTTATTTTAAGATTCAAAATCTTAATCCCATAAAACAGGGTTCCCACTCCTGCATTGAAGCAAAAATTAAGGAGTTTTAAGCACTTTTATTGAAAAAATTAAGGACTTTTATGTAAACAATTAAGGACGTAACTTCCTAATTTTTAAAAATAGTATAATAATTATTTATTATCAAAAACACATGAAAGTGCAAAGTATTTACTTTTCAAAAAAATTATGTTGCAAGTATTGATATAATTTTTATTATGTTAGTACAATTATAAATTTTAAAATTTTTTATTGCTTTTAAAAAAACATGGTTATTTATAACTCATTGAAATATCATACACATTTATTGAATTCGTCACGTTTTTAAGAAATAGTTGTTTCTTATTTTGACTCGAGTTTAAAAATATTTTTGTGTTAAGCTACTAGTAGAATTTAATTTCTTGAACTCTGATGATATCGAAGATCAATGTGGGTGCCTCAGAAATGACTAAAAATTTTTTTATAAATAATCGCTCCAACATGCGGTATCTTGTTCCCCCATACTGTTCTTTTCTTTCTGTAGTGCTGCATTCTGACATAGGCAGAAGGAAGAATATTTTAATAACACTACCACAGCAAGGGCATGTCTTCTTTAGCCCTGGTCGCACATCCCTTTCTAGTCTCTCAATATGTTCTATCCCCGCTGCAGGGTCTCCTTCGAGGTGAAAGAGAGACTGACTTTTAATTTCAAATATTCTTGCAAGTCTAAAAATGTTCTAAAGCCTCTTATTTTTCCAAAATAAAAATTAAACAGTTTTTAAGGACTGTGAGAACCCTGATAAAAACATAAGTTTGTTTGCAGAAGGGAAGACTTTTTCTTCTTTTTTTTTGCAGAAAGAAACTTTTTTTCAGAAAGTTTTTTTGTGTTAGGTTTCTTAACCTTATTATTTGTCTTCACTGATCAGTTAACATATTTAGGGTGCTATTTGATCAGTGCAGATTAGCCCTATCATTTATTACCTCTTTATTTTCTGGTCTGTACATTAGTATACCTTTGTATTTTGAAATTTCAGATCATGTCCTTGGAATGCGTAGTGGAAATTATCCTGTTTCATTGCAGACTTCAAGCTTCAGTGATAAGCATCCACTGACGTCAAGCAGCATAAAATTTGTAGAAGACATTATATTACCCGAAGATGCAAAAATGTGAGATATGTTTGAAATAGTTTTTTTTTTTCCTAATGAGTTGCTTTGTTTATATTATCTAGTAGATATATGAAAGATATGACAGCAGCTCACAATTTTTTCTTTTACCTATTGAACCCTAAATTCTGGAGGACCCTGACATCATAAAGTCTATTAACAATTATGATCATTATTAAACAAAGTAAAGCTACTAATCATTTTGAAAATATTTAAAGAATGAAATTTCTTCATCATTTTATTAATAATTGTTCATTAATTGGATTTTATGACAAACAATTAAATTAGTAGAACTTGAGTGTCATCTTGTCTAGTTTTGAAGTATGTTGTACGCAAAAGCTGTAAATGAAGTTAGTATAACTATAGTTATAACTATAGAATTATATAGAATAACTATAGTTTCTGATGAAATAAAAACAAAAAAATTTTTTTATTGAGAATCTGGAAAATTTTGAACTGAACTTAATGTAATTTTTTATGTTTGATAATTATATTGATGCAAATACGATATGTTAATTAAATTTTAGGGATAGTGATTAGATATAAACATAATTTCAGGCTTCAAAGAACACAATTGGTTAAAATCTCTTGGTATCCCTGCATCTTCTGCTGAACCACTGATACAGAGGATTTCCTTGGCAGATGTCTACATTAGTCAAATAAACTGCAGGATGTGTAGCGTTTTTAAAAAGTGCTAATTTCTGTTTTTTCAAAGCTCTTAAAAGAGTCCTTAAAGGTGCTTTTTTCATTGGGTATTTTTATAAAATGCGTAATTTTCCCTTTCCAAAATGAGATTTTTTCTTTATCACCATGTCTATTTGCAACACAAATTAAGCAAAAAGCGTTTTCATATGTTTTTATTCAGCGTTTTTACAGTTCATTAAACCGCAATCCATTTCCGTCAGTCTGTAGCGTATGAAAGTGCCAATCATTTTACATGTTTGATGAAATGCTTGCAAGTCTGCATGTGCATATACAGGACTGGATTCTAGCACTCTGCTGCATTTTACAAGAGATTCTTAATTTCAGGTTGCGTTTTCACCCTCTGAAACCAAACTGATTTTTTGCTGATCACAGGGCCCAATTAAACATTGCCATTTTTTTCCCTAATAGCAAAAGAACATTTATTTCTCTTATTAATTTCATAGCTGGTGAAGTGCCATCGTGTTCGTCATTGGCCTCTTTTCGCACTCTTCAAATTATAGATCAGTACTTGACATTTACGTACTTTCATGTGGGACCCCCACATATTCAAGAATCGCAAAACTTTGTTGCCTCAAAATTCCCATCTCCCATATATTCATCTAATTTCCATAAAGATAATTATTGAGATTTTTAATGCTACGATTTTTAACTGTGGGACTGTGCAATAATTGCATAGTATTTTTTAAACTTTTATTGTACTTTATTACTCTTTGATTAGTATTTACTTATTAAATTTTCAGTATTCTTCCTTTGTTTTATAAAAAAAGTAAACAACATTTAGAGGCAAGATTTTAAAAAAGTGAGGGTCTTTCCCTACTTTAAATGCAGCAAAAAACTTATGTTATTCTCAGATTTGTCATTTCAAAAATTTTTTGATTGATTTAAAAACAATTGATATAAATTCCATTATCACAGATTTGTTAAATATTAGTGTAGGGACCATATAATAATATATTTCTGACAAATATGTGTAGCTTCAATTCTTACTGTATTTACATTTTAAAATCATTTTAAAAATTTTTTTTAACTAATTCATTAAAGAAAGGCTAAAAAAATTTTAACTAAAATTTATTAAGAGCCATTCACTAATTTACATTTGTTATATGATTAAAGTTTTTTTTTATTTGGTTTATTTCTTTACAAATTTGGTACGAGTAATATTATTCTTGTTAATGTTTTTATAAATAACTTTTATTTAAATCTAAAAAATACTCACATTAACCTTTTTTAAATTATAGTTAAATAAATTATAATTTTAACTTAATTTTTTTACATAATTAAATAAAGTAATTATTTTAAAAATTAGAATGAGTCACTCAATGTTGAATATATTTAAAATTCTACATAAATTGTTTTTATGGTGGCTAATGTAATCAAGAAAAAAGTTTTTTATTAGAAAATAGTAATTTTATCATGATCTTTCAAACTTTAAACAATAGGAAGAGAAAACTTTTTATTAGACTGCATATCCTAATTATGATATTTTTTGAGTGCTTAAAAAGTGCATATTTTTTGTTGAAAAATTTGACAATGCAATCTGAACTGGTATTAGATTATGTTATTACTTATTTTACTCTTTCAAGCTGAATAGTTATTTGTTAGAGTTGGATTTTTTTTTATCAGTCAAATATTAATTTACAATTCCTGACGCATGCAAAATTTATCTTAAATTTTTTTTACAGTAGTTTAAAATTGTGTATGAGAAGAAAAAAAATTTGCATCATCAATAATCAGTCAATAAATTTTAACAGAATTAGTAAAAAATTAGGGAAAATTATATTTTTAAAATTTTTTTAATTTGAAATAAAGCTGTTTACAAATTTCCTCAAAGTGTACATACATACATTACATCTTACCTTATTTAAAATAAATCATTTATGCAGGTCTGTCTCGTTTTTGATTTCACTTTTCAAACAATGTTTTCTTGATTTTTTAACTTCTAAAAATGTTCCTCAGCTCCCTCATGGTTTGTATAAAAATTTCGTATGACATTTATTGCATTAAAGGCTTCCGCTTGGGTTACAGCTACAGTCTCAGGATCACTGTCACTGTCCTCACGATTAAACAATTTCAGAAATTGTAGCTTGTTTGCTGGTTGCAACATTTTCCTAGAACACGAGAGGAGTTCCTTGAAAAGAAGTTAAATAGGCTTTTGTTAGAAAAGAGCTCCCTTCGCCTCAGATAAAAATGACCTTATAAGCGATAACGATTTTTAAAACTTGACCATATATCTGATAATCTGTAACAAAGAATTCCTAAACAGTGAGCCGGGACTTTGGAAAAGTGACCTTATATGCGGGGTATTTTATTGATTTTTGATTTTAAAGTTACAAAAATGGCGCAGTTCTTTTTATTAAATATACTATTTTTGCAATCTAAAATTTATCTATCAAAAATAAAATAATTTTCTCTTGCCTTCTTTATGATGTCCACGGAGTATACATTGAGAACTTTGCCAAACCCCAGTTGAACACAACAATCCAAACTTGACACCAAAGAGAACAAAAAACAACTGATAGTTAACTTTAGAAAATAAAATGGCTACCTTTCCCACCAGCTGTCTTATAGGGATTTTGCATGTACTGCCCTTTATTGCATATTTACCGAACAATATTAATTGTCCATGAAGAGAGATTTCATTTATGATGGACAAAGTTTACTAGTCATTTATTTTATAAAAATTAATTTTTTTTGAAAAAATATTAAATAAAAAGTTACTATAAACATTCAACTAGTTAAAACTATAAAAATCAATAAAATAACATTTAAATTGTTTAACAGCCATTAAAAAAAAATTTGTGTCACAGGCGTAGGGACGTCCACGGAGGGGATTTTGAACTTATGTTTATTAAAAAATTAGAATGAAATATTAAATACATTTAGCAGAAATGCATATGATTGGTTAGTTAGAACTTGACAAAAAATGATGAAGAAAAATATTAAGAAATCTGCTGTATTTCCTAATATTTAATACAAAGGGACTTAAAAAATCCCCTTTTTGTGAGAATGACCCATATATATATATATAAATGTAAATGCCTTGGTTACCATTAATAAAGTCAATCAAGACATTTAATGATGATGCTTATTCTTTAATAATAACATGAGTCACACAGACTCTTAAAACAATTAAGATTGAACCACACAGGTTTTCAGTTTCACACAGAAACGTTTAGTTACACAGGATCGAACCACACAGGTTCCAAGTTTCACACAGAAACAAACTTCAATTAACTAATAATATAGTCATCTAGACTCTTAACCACTAAGCTTACCCGTTTCACTTAGAAAACATTATCAACTGACTCTCTTCATTTACATCAAGAAAGTTCTATACATTTCCTTCAGACGAGCGACATCTGGCGGGATAACATAGAGGTTGTTGTCTCGCTTATTACATATATATATATACCGAGTAGCCATTACGTTATGACCACCCTGCTAATAACATGTAGGACCACCTTTAACCCTCAAAACTGCTAGCACCCAATGTGGCATTGATTCCACAAGGTGCTGATAGGTAGTCTGAGATATCTGGTACCAAGCGCTCAACAACTGGTCCTGCAATTCCCTCACATTGCGAGGGGGTNTATATATATATATAATACAAAGACTTCATTCTTTGAAATTTGATGATTTCAGTGTCTCTTTTCTATGTTTAAATTTACATCAAAGATATTTGTCTAAAATATTTCTTTGTTTATTGCAGAGTAGCAATAATTGTAGCCCAAGAAGATCAATATTGTAGAGATCCAAATGTTCTGAAAGGATGGGCGAATCTAAGAGTTAGATGCTTAATGAAAAAGAAATACTGTCCTGTTGTGGTAAGATTTACTATTCGACTTGGATGATTTTATTGATATACATATATTTATCTTTTCATATGGTACAAAAATTCATTCTGAAAAAACTTCATAAAATACATTATACTAAAATTGCATTGTTAATCATTTATTTCTTACTTAAAATTATTCAGTAATATAACAACATTTTTAAGAAACAAATAATTAATTAGAAAAATGACATTTCTAAAAAAATTTTAATTTTCAGCTGCTTCTCAGAATTACTATTCAAAATATGTAGGCATTTTTTAATTCCCAAATATTTATAGTTATTTTATAAAAAATATCCTATTTTTCTTTATGGAAAATTTAAACGTTTGCTTACTTTGAAACAAAATAAATAGCAATATTTATATCTATTCATCAAAATACTACTTCAAAAAAATATAAAAGCTTATAAAAAAATATTAAAGTTTCATGGCCGGGAAGTTTTTAATAATTCCATAATCTGTTGATCTAATCTGCTAACCATCTACAAATGCTAAGTCAACTTCTTTTTCAAAAGGTGTTTTCTTGTTATTATTATAGTTTACACTTTTGCTTTTAACATGTGTGCAATCTTATTACATGGATGACCATTTAGTAAGAAATGTGACTAAAATTTATCAAGAAATAAAATTAAGCATTGTTAACAAGAGTGAAGTAACTAAAGCAAAATTCTAATAGGTTGGAGAAAAAAAATTATTGCAGCAGATTATTCGTGTAGATAACACTATGATTTAAAAGATATTTCCATGTTTGAAAATACTAGAATTTGAGACTATGTTACAGAATTTTATAAATAAGTTTCGTTTGTATAATTCTGTTATTTTTGAAAAGAAAAGAGCTATATAGAGCAGGGGAGAGTGGCTCATCTTGGGACACTTTTTTACTTTCTTTTTTTATCAATTGTCAAAATTTTACCTGGTATTTTTTTAACATTTGAAAGCATTTTTTAAGTAGGTTTTGATTTTATATCTGTCATAGAAAAAATTTTAGAAAGTTATTAGTTACCTTGTTATTTTTTGCAAGGTGTACCTCCTAGTGGGACAACTTTCAACAGTTAAAAAGAAGTAAAAAGTTAATTAGAAATTTTCTAAATAAATTTACAGTCTCTAATTTTGTTAGTTTTAAGTTCTTGTATGTAAATTCAATTGTTCAGAATCAAATACCAAACCTAAAGAACGTTCAGTGCTTTGCTCTGGTTTTAACGAAATGTCATTTGAATCTATGTATGATTTGTCTTCTTTTTCGGGATAAATAAATGTTAAAAATTGATTCACTCTTCTCAAAAATGATAACCCGTACTCAGCTCCATCAACTCTGTCAACGCAACCTTCACATTGTTAAACTTTAATGGTACTTTGAGGCTTGTAACATATAGTCTAACAAATTTATTTGTTCTTCAACTGTGACTATTTTGCGACTCTGTATATTTGAAATATATTTAAAGTTAGAATTATGCTGTTCTCTTTTTTTAACGTAAATAATATGGCGGTTCAGTGTGGTCTTACTAATACTGTAGAATTCAGCAGCTTTCTTACAAGTCATTCCCCCTGATAAAATTTGCAGCAGCTTTTTGAACATTGTTAGCATAAACTGCTGCATTATTTTTATACCCTTTGCTTCCAATTCTTGTCATTAGTTAAGTCTAATGAGTTCCTAAAATAAGAATTAATAATAAACGCAAATTATTTAAATAAAAAGATATTTCGCATACACAATATCTTTTTGTTGAAAATCTATTTTTAATAATGATTAATAATGTATATTTAATGTCTCAAGTTGTACTACATACTTAATATGAAATTTTAAAATATACTTTTAGGTTTCGCATTGGAACAATTAAATTTGATGACTTCTAAAGGGATAGCTGTACTTCATTATATTATCCATTATTAAAAATAATTTCATTAAAATTTTTTTCTACAACTAATTAAACTTTTATATGTAAGTAAGTAACATGCTTTAAAAATAAAAATATTAATAAATTCTTACCTGCTTAATCAAAATGCTTTCTAATCTTAAATTAATGTATTTCATTTCAATATTTTTTATTTTCAGCTTTATTTTAAATTAATAACTTCTATATCTCTCTTAATAAACACAACCAATTACTTTAAAAAATAAAGTTATGAAAGAAGAGAAGAAATATTTTAGTTCATACAAAATTCAAAAAAGTACTTACTTTTGATGCTTTTTTTTAATTTGAAAAAAAGCAAATAAATTATGGAAAAGTAACTAACTAATAGAAAAAAAACTGATTTATTGCACAAATTAGATAGGATTACTAACAAAATAATCACATTTAATTGTCGCATAGTAATTGCTCACTGTTTTGGTTTCTTATTCGCACTTGCTATCCTAAAGTCTTGCATATCAACCGTATCCAAAAAATTATTTGAATTTTCATTTTACCTTGCAAAAGAAACAATAGTTTGAATTGCTTTATAATCCTCTATCAGAGGAAAGTAAACTGAAAAAGTTTTGTCTCCAGACCTCGTTACCTGTAGAAATGCAATTTTGTAATACCAATTTCTTAGAATAACCAACAAGAGTGTTGACTAAGGATCAATATGGTGGTCATTTTTTACATTCACGCCCATGGTGAAAGAAAACTCTATTCAAATTAGAGTACAAAGTGTTTATGGTGTTTCATGTAATGCACCCTCCCCCTCCATGATTCAATTCATAGGACTCATTCATTTCTCTGTTGTAATTTTGCTATTATCAATACTATAACAAAGCAATAAAAAAACCTACTCTTATTTAGAATTATGAATGATTAGCTATCATACCTGTCTGAGGGGAAATAAATTTTCTGTCCACATTAAAAAAAAAAAATTACCAAGATTAATAAAATTCAAGTTTACCTTAAAAGAGTATAAAAAGTAAAGTATATATATACACAGAGAAAGAGGATACATTTTTTTTAAACAAATTGCTTGTTTAAAGTAAAATTTAAAGAAAAAAATTATAAATAATGTTTGTACCTACTAGATTATAGAAAAATTAATAATTTGAATAAAATTTTAAAGGATATCTTTGTTACCAAACTTGCTTTCTTGCAGTTCAAATTTTCTTTACCTTCAAAATTTATTTATTAAATATTTTTCCTTTCATTTCTTGAGTTTTTATAATCTAAGTAAATTATATTTTATTTTATAACCATTGTTGAACAGTCAAACCAATTTTTTGGCTTTATGACTACTAATGTTAAATTCCGTAGCCTTGTAATTTTGAACCTAGTCCAGAAGATAAGGGAACTCCTGTATCAAGTATTGGGAGAAATTTGCCTTCTTGAAGTGATGTCATTTCTGCTTACATGATCCTTGGCACAAAACCGCTCTTAACAAATTTCACATTATTTTATTCCATCTATGCTTTAAGTTTCTGAAGAATTAGCATTTCACAAAATATTTTTTATCTGTGACTAAATTTGTATTATCCATATACTTATGCTGTGTTAACCTCTTATTTATCTTAATACTATTTGCTAGTCTATCATGCAAGCAATACAAAGTACAGAATGATACATAAATAAAACAAAACAAGATGAAATAGAAAGGCTAAACAGTGACACAATATTATGTCAAAAGCTGGTAACAGGAAAAAAAAACCTCCTTCTCATAGTTCCAAGTAAATCAAATATTGCTAAAAACAATCTCAAAGTCAAAAGCTGATGCTTAAAACTTTCTGTAAGAGGAATCATATGGAATTTGACTATTCAATTATTATCAGTATAAATTTAAGAATAATGAAAATAATAATACTTAAGTCTATTCTCAATGCAATCAGACATCACAAAGACAATATTTTTTTTAATCCTTCATTTCCCTAAGAGATCTTTAAAATTCCCTATGTAAGAAACATTTTAGGAATTGTTCCTTAGTTTTCATAAAATATCTACACCATAATTTTATTTGATTTTTTTTTTCAGATAAATTTTAACACCTTCAAAGAAATGCCAGACAGAGAAAAAATTCCATACTTGATGCGAGAAATAAAACAAGCTACTGAAGGACTTAGTGCTGTTAATGTACAATGAAGAAAAATCACACTCCTGTATAAAAAAATAGCTTATTGAATAAATTTAGATTATTTCTTTTAATTTGTTCATATGAAATCAAATTTTTCTTATTATGCTTATCAAAAAATATATAAATAACTGACTATATTAAGTTGTTTTCAGTATTTTCAAGAAGAAAAAAAAACAAACTCTGAATATAGCTTTCAATAAAAAAAAATGGATATAGATGAACAAAGAAATCTATTTAGTCATGTTGAATATCTAACACTTTGTATAAATTATTATGTTTATACCTCTAAGATATTATGTAAATTATATCTAAAAATTTCATTATCTTAAAAAATTAATTGTGTGGAATTTACAATGAATCTTTCTATAGTTGGAGTACAAAGCTCTAGTTATTATGAAACAGGGATACTTTGCCGGTTGATCAAAATATGATTTCTGGCACCTTGATAATTCTTATACATATCAATGAAGTGTAAAGCTTTTGAGGTTTGACAGACCGACAATAAATAACAATCGGGGGAAAAAATGGTTTTAACACTCTATGCAAAGAAATGTAGCTATTAATTTGTAACTTAAAAGTGGTTATTACATGCAATAATTGCACAAAATTTTATAAACCTTGCTTCAATATTTAGAAATATGGAAATGAAAGTTTTTGTCGCTACAATTTTTAAAATATTTAACAAAATTAAACAAACTTTTGGATTAATTTAAAATTGATTAAAAATTATTGCTTTAAAATTTGAGAAAGATTCGTTAAAAAGTGTGCAAGATATGAGTAATTAAATAAATTCTTTTATACTGCCCAGGGGCAGAAAAAATTTCTTAATTTTATAATGAATTGTATTTTGCAACTATTTGAATGTCTCAAAAATTTAAAAAGCTTCTTAGTTTTCTTACTTTTTCAAAGAAAGCTCAAAATTATAAGAGATTTTCTGCTCATTTCATTATGCACTGTTAAACATAATTTATTAAAAATGACACTGGCATTGTTTAGGGTCATCCCCCATAAAAGTATCTTTTCTTTCGTATGTTTTATTTCCTTATACCATCACACTTTGTTGTTATTAATATTTTTGTAACCAATTTTGAATTGATTAAAAGTTTAAACTTCATTGATATGTATGAGAAATTGCATGTTTTAAACATTTCTAAATTTATAATCTGATTTTAAATATTTTTTGAGAAATATCAAAAGATGTGTTAGTGTTTTCATTGTTTTATTTTATTTTATATATGTGTATATATACTACATAAACTATTCTTGAATCCCAGGAAAATGTTGGCTATGAGGGATTTGCGCTTTTTCTAACCTTAAAAGAATAATTAAAACAAATAAGGTTATATGTCAAAAATCTTTGAAAAATTATTTTCAGTGTTAAATGTATGTTTAAAAAATGTTAAATAGACGTATGTGGTATAATTAATTTAGAGAAATGCCTATATTTTCCCACTAAAGCACTTTTAATAGAATTTCTTAATTAAATGTAATTTTTTTAAAGTACCTGTATAACTCAAAACCTCTCTATTTCAAATTTTTCGCCTTTCCCGTGAGATTCGAGATAAACAGGTTAGACTGCGTTTAATTTGGCTATATTGATACAATATTAGAAAGCACTCCCTTATGCCGATATAATCGTGTGAGCTGATGAAGAGATTATATTTTTCTTTCTTTTTTCTGGCTTTTTATTAGGTTATATATTTTTTAAGAATACTTTATTTCAATATTTTTTCTTCTTTTCTTTTCATTGATCTCTGTTGTTTTCAATGTTTCCTCTGTATTTTTAATTATATATATTAGGTAGTTGAAAACAGAAAATAATAATTAAATATCAACTGTAACAGAAAATAAGGCTTTAGCCTCTGCTGATGCTTTGGATTTCAAAATGAGAGTGTTTCTCTTATTCTGTGTCCAAGAGAGCAGACTTTAGTGGTCATCTGATTAGTAAGAACAACCCTCAATCTGGAAAGGCAGATGATGGAAATTTTAACGAAAAAAGTGCAGCAATTATTTCAAAAATAGCAGATATTAAATCGTTATCAGGGCAGTATATTAATTTAATGCAATCTGTTTAAGTGTATGACTTAACTATTGAAACTTTTTACCAGGATCTAAAAACACCTTCCAGTTGTCTTATTTTTTAATAAAATAATTTAAGTAAAAGAAAGACTTGATAAATACGTAGCCCAACATTTAAGTGATTTGCAATTTTAACTAAGCTTTGCATTATGCAATTTATGAGTCTATTTCTCAAAGTATTTCTCAATACTATAACGAAAATGAAAAGTAATACTATCCACAACAGTTAATGAGACCTAAAATTATGAAAAAATAGGTTCATTTAAAAATATATAGTAGTTCTTAGAGAGAACTATATAATATGCATAGATTATATTTCGGAATAAATTAAATAAAGGTAAAAAAAATACTTGGAAAATAAGGAATGCATAAGAGAAAAAAAATGATAAATAAAATTTGCAAGAGTATTAGAGTATTATAAAATATGTTAAATACGTTCAAAAGATAATATGGTGGTAATAAATAATTATAAATAAAACTAAGCGGCATTTACAGTTTTACGTTTTCACTAAAAAAAGGGGGAAAGAAATTTATTGAAATAATAAAAATGTTAAAAACACATTTCTTTTAAGCCATCTGAAAAAAGATAGTTTTCAAGATCAGGTTGTGTTTTTTTTTTTTAAATTAAAATTGTTCTCTCTTTTGTGAAATGATAAAAATCCATTAATGAAAACTTTTTTTTATCTACGCAAAATAAAGAATACCAAACTGCAAATTTTGGAATTTACCCGATATCTATAGAGATAACAAGTTAGAACTATAGAGATAACAAGTTAGAACTATAGATGTAACAAGTTAGAACTATAGAGATAACAAGTTAGAACTATAGAGATAACAAGTTGAGAACTAAATATACTCTAAAAAGTAGAGTCATGAAACAGAAGAATAATTACTAATAAATATGCGTGTAATGATAGTTGACTTTAAGTCTAAATCAGCAGTGATAACTTTTTTTGAATGTAAGACAAAAATAATTATCCATTAAATAGAAAAGAATTTGTTTACAATAAACTCACACTGTGATTTTTCGGCACAAAATTCATATTCCAATTCACAAAATTCATATTCCAATTCATATTCCAATTCACTCATATTCCAATTCTTCTCAAAGGTTTTGAGAAGAAACCCTTCAACATAGGAATTCAAACTGACATTAAGTGGATATGTATTGTCAAGGTAAAAATATTTTTGCCATACAACAAGGGTTTCGAGATATTGAGAGTATACTGTATATACATCATCAAGGGTGACGACCTGGGGTAGGATTAAGCATTTTCTTTTCAAATTTTTAAGCAGCACCAGAGCTAAGAAAAAAGCTGTGAAAAATATTTTTAAAATACTTAAAACCTTAAGAATAAGTATGTAGTAATTATGTTCTATAAAATACATTTTTAAGAATAAAATGAAATGAAAATAGTTAAAAAGAAATATTTACTAGAGACCAAAAGAAAATAGGTAATTGATATCCACATAATTCTCCCTAGATAAATAATGGAAAGAGAATCTGGCTCTAGAACAGTGGTTTCCAACTGGTGGCCCGGGGGCCGCATCCGGCCAGCGAAGCCTTTTTTTGTGGCCCGCGAACTAAAATATATTAGTTGTCATTTTTGGGGACCAGTTTCGTAAAAAATCTATATGGGTTTAAAATACTTTTCTCGTTAATAAAAACCTAATTTCTTCGTTTCTGCGAAATTAATCATATCAACGGTGCAAAAAAAAAAATATTTCTTAGGTTTTGCATCCAAGAAAATGTTTATTCAAATACAAAAATAATCGTGTATGTTGCTCTTTTTTATTTCATTTTTTTGTATTTTGTGAATATAATTTAGCATGTGTGTATCAGAAATTTTCTCTAACAAATACTCCGATTAAACTTTTTGAAACCACTAATTTTGGACGAAAATATTTACACACACATTTGTAAATTTAAAATGTAAATATCTATTCCCTGGTGGTTGCAGCAGACAAACCTCAATTTGTCATGAACATTTTGTGTGCTACTATGTAAGTTTTAATACCAACCTTTTTAAAGTTTTATATCTTAACAATTAGATATCTGTTGCACATTAATTAATTAATACATGGGTGCAATGATAATTAATGTTATTAAATATTTTTAAAAATCTACTTCTTATTTTAATTTGTAATTCAATACTTTTGTTTTGCAGTCTGACAGTAATATTTAATGTTCCTTCAAGCATTAAAGTGTCCTACATGAAATTTTGATAAAGTTGCGGCCCGCCATCTGATTTGTGTTTTTAATTGCGGCCCCCGGCCTCAATTAAAAACACAAGTTGGAAACTCCTGCTCTAGAACACCCTTAAATATCCATAGATTACAACTACAAAAAAAAGGTGAGAGATCTTAGGCTCAGAATTACAAGAACTACTTGAGCTCTATTATATTAAGTGAGAACTACCTCGCTTCTAATGAGTATCTTGGTTTTAAAAAAACATAAAAGAAATTAAATACATTCGCTGCAGCAGAGTTCCCTTGATGTTAATGGCTCAACTTCAATGGACACATTCGGGGTATCTGCTACACTCTAAATTTTCAAATCCATGACTTTCCGTGAATAATTCCAGGAATTTTTCAAGACTTATCGAGGTTACTATTTTCTCCGACAAAAACACAACAATAAAGCATTATAATAACATTAATTGAAATGGTATAGGTATAACTAAAACTCTTATACTCCGCATCTTCATTTTTATTGATTTTAAACTTTAAAAAGTAAAGAATGAGTTGAAGCAATGGAATAGCTGAAAAAATACAAAAGAATGTAATTAAATACAGTATGTAGGTATTGAAAGCTGTTTTATTTCTTCTTAAAATTAAGTAATATAAAAAGTCTAAACTAGAATTTTATATTGATGAAATAAAATAGAAATAATTTTTTCTCTCCTTCCAATGCCCACCTGTGTTGACATCCGTCAATTCAGGCATATACAGGGCGATTTTGTGGGTCTCTCTTTCAGGGGCACCCACATTGAGGACAGATAGTACAGAGAAGAAAAGAACATTCAATGCCTTGCCCGGGATTCGAACCCAGAACCTTTCTGATGCAAGGACTGTTCCCTGCCCCCTACACAGGCCGGTCGGCATAGAAATAGATAAAAAAAAATCTGAAATCATTGAAGTTTAAAAGATAATTCGCTCTAGAAATTATGTTGAAAGAACACCTAATTTTTAAAGAGCAGGATACAAACATTTTTAAAAAATAAAATATGACTGTGAGTGAGGATTTTGTTACAAATTCAGATAGTCAGAACATCGGAGCATTGTGAATTGGGGGGAGGGGTAAATTCCATTTTAAAAATTGATTTTTCGGCAACCTGAATCCATGACTTCCCATGATTTTTTTTTTAAAATAGTTAAAATCACAACATTTCATGACAAATTTTGTTCAATACCGAAATCCGTGATTTTCCAGGTGTGCAGATACCCTGCACATTTCACAAAGAAAATCATTGGAAAAGGATGCATAATTTAAATTTACTAGGAAAGAAAATATTATAATAAATTAATATAATAAATAAAATATAATAAATTTCTCTTCTTGCTGTAAAAATTTAAATGCTCAGCAAAAACATATTTTTATTATTTTTGTCCAATACTTTCGATTAAAATTTCTTATTTCAGTCAGTTTTATTAAATTTGAGTTACATGTTGAATCAACCACTAACGAATATAATATTTTAAATACTAAGTATCAAGTAACATCGAAATCAAATTAAGCTATTTTGCAATTTCCAAATTAATATCAACAATAAAGCATGAAAATTTTTTAACTCATAAACAAATATATTTTAAAAAACAACAAAAATTAAAATTTCTACTTTTTTTTTAAATGACTATGTCAAATTGAATCAACTAATTCTGTGCAACAAACGAGTTTTTCTGTTATTAAATGGCAAAAAAGTCAAAAAGCAACAAAAACTATGTCGACATTTAAAAGGTTAAATTAAGATAAAATATATTCAACTAAATTTCTTATCTAAATCCATACTTTCAAATGAAAAATTTTAAACCTATTTTAAATAACAGTGAAAGTAACTTGCTAGGAGGAAATAGCCTGGTTGGTAGAGCGTTGGGTTCAGGTCCAAGAGGTCGTGAGTTCAATACTCCCGTGTAGTAAATGGCGACTAGTGCATGTTTAATCCGTCGGATCACTAAGTCCCCCATGTTCACGTAATAAATTACATCATTGGGGGTACTGAATTTAACAGTAATTGTTCTCTGGTTCAGGTCAAAATTATGTTCTGTGGATGAATGAATGGATGTGGGTTCGCCCTATAAACGGGTTGTGATGTGACGTATTCGTGGCAGAAGCCAAGTTCTTGGCCAAAGATGGAACCACTGGAAGCGCACCCCCTTGCCTCACGGGCATCCGTCAACATTAACAAGCTAATATGTTAACAATAGTAAGAAATATCTTAAGATATTAAATTTAGGAATAAAACTTCAAAGTTTTACATGTATGTAAAATTTTGAGAATAATATAAATTTCTAGCTTGGTATCTTCAATTTGACCTTAGAGCATATCAGTTTTTCGATTAGTTGAGAGATAAACAGCAAACATTTTGAAGATTTAAAAATGTACTTGATACCTAACATGTTAGATAAACAAACTAAACTGTTTGATTATAAAAATTCTGAAAAAACAATTGAAAATGCGTAGTTTAGAAACCACAGTATACAAAGTAATTATAAAGCCTCAGCGCATTTCGGAAATATCATTTTTAGTTTAATTTGTGTTAATAAATTTCTTAGTTTAAGATGTTTTATGTCACTTTTCACCTCTTTTCAGTTTACCCCAACAATGAAAGGAGTTTTTATTATGAAAATTCGAAATTTCGCCCAAATCGTTGCATATTGTAACCGGTGCATATTTAATGAGAATTAAAAATTTTTAAAAATATTATTTCCATTATAATTAAATTATATTCCATTAATAATAGATTCGCCAAGAATAAATAGATTTTGAAAGTTCCGCATTAAATATCACTTCCGGCTGCCTTATTTTACTATACTAAAAGTCTAAGCTCTGATGCTTATTTAGCTTGAAAGCCATTCATACTAGCTAAAAAAAATTAGAAACTGAAATTTAATCTCTAGTTGAAAATGAAATAAATAATTTAATTTCATTGTACAAAAACTTTTCGGGCCTTTTTTTAATTTATTGGACAGATTTTTGTTTGTAAAATAAATAGTATAAATCTAATCTGTAACTGATGACCAAAATCATTGCGTTCTCTTAATGAGAAATCCATTTCAGAGAAAAGTAACCAATGATTATTTAATGAATAAATAACATTTCAAAAAGGAGAAGGGAAAAGAAAAAAAAAGGTAAAACAAACACTAAATGGCTTGTACAGTTGAGAATACGTTAGTTAAATTGGAGACAAACTTGAAAAATTGTGACAGCGCTTAATTCTCGACGGAAGAAACTTTTGGATAGCAACCTTGGCCTTCAGCAGGCTATAGAGCTAGAGAAGAGAAGAAGAAATAATCAAAATACTACTGACTTAAAAATAATGAACCATATTGTCAAATCTTCCTAATGTTTCATTCAATAAAATTAAGGAAATATAGTTCTTGTTGGGATTGTCGCTTTTGGCGCAAGCGCAGCAGTTCTTGATCACGTGACCAAGAAAGTGTAGTAGTAGGATAAAATGATGGCGATTGAAAGTGCATGACGTACATGCAAAACGTTCCATGTAAAATCATTGATGTTCGACCCTTGCTGGTCAATGTTATTGCTTGCTATAAATTAAATATTAAGTTTATCGTTAGTTACAGTCCTCTGTTTTTATTTTGGAATATACACTTGAATGGCCAAATTATTATGACCACCCCTTCAGTACGTTGTTGGGCCACCTTTTGCGCGTATTGCTGCCTTAATTCGTCTGGGCATGGATTCTATGAGATGTTGGTAGGTGGTAGAAGGTATTCCAGACCATGCTCGCTGAACTGCACTTGCCAATTCCTGCAAATTTGATGGTACTGGATCCATCTGTTTGAGCGCCCGTTCAATTTTATCCCACAAATTCTCAATTGGATTGAGATCTGGGGATTGTGCTGGCCAACGAAGCAAGTTAAATTCTCCGTCATGCTCTTCGAACCATCTGAGGACAATGCCAGCTTTATAACTAGGAGCGTTGTCCTGCTGGAAGTATCCATCCCCGCCAGAGACATAAACGGATGTACTTGATCTGCGATGATACTTAAATACCCTTAGGCATTAAGGCGTTGTGGTACAGGAATTAAAGGATCCATACATTACCAAGAGAACATTCCCCATATCACAACGTTGCCACCACTAGCTGAAAGTGTCGTGGCAATGCAGTTGGGGTCCATGCTTTCGTGCTGTTTTCTCAATATTGTCATCCTGCCATCTGCGCGATGCATTTGAAATCGTGATTCATCGGACCACATGACCCTCTTCTTGTCATCTACTGTCCAATGTTTGTGCTCCTTTGAAAATTGGAGACGTCTGCGCTTATTTAAGGCAGACAGTAGAGGCTTACGAACAGGTCGTCTGCTTCCATACCCTATACGGCGCAATGTGCGTCGAACAGTCCGTTCAGAGACGTTCACAGTTGCTCCTCGATTAAGATCACTTGCACTTTGTCACATTGTTGCTCTGCTGCTGCGCTGCACAACCCTGGCCAGCCTTCTCTCTGATCGAGCATTCAGTACCCTGTGACGACCACAAGTCTGACGTTGAGACCCGGTTTTTTGCTTGATTGTCCATTCTTTGTACACGTTAACAACTGCTGCTCTGGAACACTTCACAAGTGCAGCCGTTTTGCTGATACTCGTTGCGACACATCTCGCACCCACAATCATTCCACGTTAAAATTCAGTTAAATCACTTTTCTTTCCCATATCTGAGCAAGCAACACAGTATAACTGATGACTCACTTGTCCTGCATTCCCGTGTTATAGTTATCTTGCCCAATAGCGGCAGCGCTGTGACGCAATAACTCATCAAAACTCTGAGGTGGTCATAATAATTTGGCCACTCAGTGTATATCACACACTGACTCCATTTCGAAGTTATCGAATGCGCACAGTTCTTTTTAAACTTCGGCTAGCATTAGTATTACATCAAGGATATTTTTATTTATTCGTAATTGAACATTTAAATGAACAGCGAGAAACAAAAACATAACCATGCTTTTAATGATGCTTCTGTTTATTTTCTCCTTATTTTGCTCGGCCATTAAAATACAAAGTAAGGGAAAAAAATTTGGATTCGTAAGAGTTAAATACAACTGAAATCAAATGCAATTGAGATGATAATATTCAGAGGCCTCTTCTCTCGCCAGTTTGAATTGATTATTATTTTTTATTTGCTTTTTCTTAATGTTTCTTTTTTTGCACTTAATAAACTTTTAATCCGTGTTATTCTAAACCACTATGAGGAACTGAATGTAAACAATGCGTGGTTGACCGTGTAAAGATCAGAGCAGATGGCGCTAGGTGTGAAAATTCGTCGTAAGACTTTCGGGTTACTACGTTCGACAAATTTGTAATCCTAATCTAATGTTTCGGAAATGTTTGGGTAGATGATATTTGAGGGTGCCCCTTGATTCTCGCCATTTGTGATCGCGGTTGATCGCCAAGCTGGGCGATGTTGAAACCCAATCGTGATTCTGATTAGTTTAGATTTTAGCGTTATTTTTAAATGTTCAACGGTATATGTAATTTCAGAGGTCCGTTAGTTCTACGGTGGATACCGGCTGGTAAGGTTACTTTTGCTTCTGGTCAATAAAATCGAAGGTATGTGGGCAGGCATAAAAAGGGACTTAAGAAAAAATTGTCACCGCCAGTCCGGTACCACAGACGCCATTTTCGATTCGCATTTCGCCGAATTTATGTGGCGATGGAGGTACACAGATTCTATTCATGATAAATTTAAACAGTTTTAGAGTATCCTGTGGGTCTAACTTTGAGGACATTCAAGCTTAATGAAGAAGTGAGTCGTTTTTTTCTCTGCTTTCTGTGCTTACTCCATTAGTTTTTTTTTTCCGATTCAAAATGCATTTTATTGGGTTTATTAATTTTGCTTATATTAGATTCATTGCAATTTTATAAAGTTTTGGCCGATGTTTTGTTGAAATTTTCCAATATTGTATTGAAATATCATTATGTTTTGGCAGCCATTCCTGTTACCACGGTGTTCCACGCAGACAGAAATGGCGCCAAACATAAGTCGCCAATTTCGCCAAGGGGCAACATTAAGTATATTTTTACCAAAATGTTTTCTGTATAAGTTCCTCTATACGTGTCCTCTTAATTCGCATACTTATTTTAAATTAATTTTAACTCATTACTAATTCAAACTTATTACTTTTTTTTTATTCAAAATGCATTATTTTATTTAAAATTCATTACTTTATTTAAAATGTATTATTATATTAATAAACTTATTTTTTTATTAATGATCTGTTTAGGATTAAATTATTTTCAGGGTTCAATGAGATAAAAGAGAAATAGAAATTAAATAAGACAAATAAAATTTAATAAAAATATAATAAATAAAAATAAATTAAATTAAAATTAACTAAAATAAAATAAAGAAACTATTGTTAATACTTTTTGATCAAATGATTTGAGCTCTAAAATGCAATGCATAATACAAAACACAATATAACGCATTTAATATGCTAAATAATTAGTTATATTTGTATCATAATATTAAAATAAGATTTAAAACGTATTTTCTTTGAATAATCATACGTTCATTTTCGACTGATTTATATCCTAATTACAGTAACTATGTAATTTTCAACCCAGCAGGCAAGGGAATTCCTTGATCAAGTACTAAGTAAAAATTCCTCAGTGACAGACTGAGTGAAACATACCTACATAGCGTTACACGGAGATGCAAATCAGGTTAGCATGATGGCACGTTGTTTCTATCGGACTTAACAGAAGAAAGTATTTTTGTTTTATCAAACACAAAACAAAAAAAGTGAAAGGGGTGCGTCAGATTTTTAAGACATTTCTAAAATAATCCTGCCTCTCCCTGTCTTTCAAAAGTAATGCGTCCGATATTCTAAGTTTGACAAAAATAGATTTTCAATCATTTACAATCAATCATTTCAATCATTAATCTTAGGAATCATTTACATAGCCTTGTTGGTAAGGCACTGGGCTCATGTCTAAGAGGTCGTGGGTTCGATCCCCGGCGGCCGAAGACTCCCTGTGTAGTAAATGGTGGCTGATGCACTTTAAGGTGGCTGTCGAGTCTCAAAGTCCTCCATGTTCCCATAAAAAATCATACCTCTGGGGGTATTGATCCAGAAGTTTCCTTGTCTTCTGTATTAGGTTCAAAATTACAAGGCTACGGGGAAAGTAGTCGTAAATCCGTAATTGGGTCTGCTGTTCAACGACGGTTATAAAATAAAATAAAATGTAGGTGGGAATGTGAATTCAGAGATGTGAAAGAGAACTTGATTGGTGGAATATTTCATTTAATCACGAAAACTCGCCAATCAGGGTTCGTATAGGCGATATTTTACGCTTGCAGTGAGCATAGATCCGTTTGAAAAACGTTGCTTTCAGTATTTTTTTATTTTAATTTACTTTATTGTTTAAAAATTTCAGTTATAGGATCACCGTTTTTTCCGGGAAAGAAATTGTCCAAACCTCATGCGGAAATAACGGAAGGAACTGCCGAAGGAACAGAAAGAATAGTCGAAGCCAAGACGGCAGTTCCCATCGAGAAAGAGATTCGATTCTATGAGGCTGTGGATAAAATAGACCCGATTGTTCTGAAAGTTCTGATGGGTAACGCGACAGAGGGGCCCAGAGTACCGAGCACGCCCAGCCCACATTGTTGTTTCAATGGGGGTACTTGTCATGTGCACACAATGAGTATGTCAAGAATTCTTTATTTGCACAAGATTTTCTTTATTATCGTGTGTAAATAAAGAATATCACTTCTGTATTCTTTATTTACACAAGATATTTCTACTCTAAAAAAATTTACTCTTTTGTGTTCCATAAAGACTACATTAACCAAAACTGTCAAATTTTACCATTACCGTCTTACCATTACCACCAAATAACTATATCGGTATTATTGACGGGTACAATACCAACCTCAAGATGTGAAATGAATTTTTAATAATCGAAAATTTGAACCTTTCTGAAGCCTCGGCATTGTATTCAATACCGTATGACAAATAGGCAAAGTATGAAAGGTGATTTTTGCATAAGTTCAAAATGAAGATAAAACAAAAGAAAATTACAGACATATGAAAAAAGAGGGGGGGGGGAAGAAAAATAATAATAAAAAAATAACAAACAACTGGGGGAAAAAAAGGATAAAATTTTTTAAAATATCCGGAAAATAAAAGATATAATTTTTTCATCAGCTCACACGATTATATCCGCAAAAAAGAGTGCTTTCTGATGTTATATCAATATAGCCAAAGCAAAATATATTAATACAACAGTTTGAGGAGCACTCAAAAATTTTTTTTACAAAAACTTATTGTTTTTCTTTATTTTTTTCGTGTTTTTTGTATTTATTTATTCTGTTATATATATATATATATATATATATATTGAAAANTAATTTGTTGACATATAATTTTTTTTTTTGTCTATTTCTTTTAAACTTAGATTTATTATCACCATACTATTTTGTTTTTGTTTTGTGTTGTATTGGCATCTTCGATGCATAATTAGCTTGACTATGTTCTACATAGATTCATGCTTATCTTTGCGTAAATACATAGTGGAAGAATTGATCTCTTAGGGAAAGAATCTTTGTGAAAGAATATAGAATGTGTTACTTAAGAGAATTGATGCCTAAAGGGCTTGGCTTACTCTAAATAGAATGAAAAAAAAGAGTTACTGACGTAAACAAACGCCATGTTTTAAACAACCTTACTTTGAGCGGAGGATAAACAAATAACTACAGTTCCTGGCCAAATTTTTCGACGCACTATAAATTTCTGTGTAAAAATTTAATTATCAGGTGATACTATAGAGCTTTATTGTTTTTACACGATTGAAACCGGTTTGCACTTGTTAACGTTCGTGTATCAATTGGTTAAATGAGACGATATATAATATAAATTTTACGATTGAATAAATTAGACGATATATTATTTAAATAAAGAATATTTAATCTATCAGCTATTATATTAGTATATTATAATAATTACACCAAATCACTAGACGCACCGTAGTGTTTTAATAATTGCATGTTTTGTACGAGTACATATGCAATACTCTTATACACTATCTGCCAATAAGTTTTTGGACACGTGTGATTGAAAAGAAAAACAAACTTTATTCATAATCAATAGTTGGTAGAGCCTCCACTAGAGGCAATTACAGCGTGAACCTTCCGCTAGTTCTTGCTTGACGGTATTTTCTTCCACTCGGCTTGGAGAAGACATGCAAGTTCCTTCACCGATTTGGATGGGTAGTACACCCCTTAAGTCGGCGATCCAACTCGTCGCGGAGGTTCTCGGTAGGGTTCAGGTCTCGGCTCTGGGCAGGCCAGCCATTCGATTAACACTATTGGCACCGTACCAAGCCTTGGTGACTCTTGCGATATGACCGCTGGCATTGTCGTCCTGGAAGTAACAGGGGTCCACCCCGTAAAACAGCCACAACGCAAGAAGCATACTGTCATCCAAAATAGTGCAGTAGGCATATTGCATGGGACTAATGCCGATGTTGTTCCCTACTAGCAGTATTTTCATTACAGAAAAAAAATGGGAGAGAATTTCTCACCCTTTCTCAAAAACAGGGTGAGATTTCAAAAAGTTAAGTGAGATTTCTACAAATTAAAAAAACACAAATAGACTTTTAAAAAAAATTATTTCTTTAATAATAATACATTTTTCACATTTTCTAATTGAATATTTTTGCTGCATCATCATATGGAAAATGTTCTATATCTACTTTTTCATCAGCTATTATATTTATTTGGCCGAAAAATATCCGTATTTGTTTCGTTTTGACCGTTTTGTTTTCGTATCGACGTTTGTTTCATTTTCATTTGTCCGTTGCGGAGTGGAAGATGTCGCCTTAACAAGTTTTTTGTACATCTTACATTCATGCACAAAAAATGTAAACGTCTTACATGAAGAAACCTTACCTACGGTGAACACTTGATCCCAGAGAAATGTGTTCTGAAAGGGGTTCTGTGGTTCGGGAGGGGGGTGTTCTGCTGTTTGCACCGGTTCTGAACAATACTGGTAAATAGGGAAGCTAGATAAGACCGATGTTCGAAACAATGAAAGATCAAGGAAGAAAAGTGAAACGGATTTTATTCAAAATGGCAAAAGAAATTTTTTTCTTCCAAAATTCGAGCATTTTGAAAATGATTAATAGAGTGCGCGAACTTCTCGGGGTTATCATTTTTTATTGCGAGAAAAGAAAAAAATATGCGAGATTCTCGCGTTCTCGCACTGTAGTGAAAACGCTGATGGGCGTGACGTATCTCAGGACCGCAGATATAGTCATCTGCATAGGTGTTCAAATACTTATTGGCATATAGTGTATTTAAACATACATGTAATGGGTTTTTATTCAGGATATTTTTTATATGCTTCCCATTTGTATTTATTTTTAAAGTATTGCATTATACAATGTTAACCAATTAATACACAAACGTAAACAAGTGCAAACCAGTTTCAGTCGCTAAAAAACAATAAAGCTGTATAGTATCACCTGATAATTAAGATTTTACCTAAAACCTTATAGTGCGTCTAATTATTTGGCTAGGGACTGTACATGCTAACTTTAAATTAGATATATGAAATATTTTACAGATAAATTAGTTTTCAGTTATTAATATTACGCTGATGACGAGCAAAGAAATCTGTATATTCATTTAAGAAAACTATATAATACGATGTGATTTTATTGCCAATAACAACGCAAAAACACCAAGAGGAAATGGTTTGTACCATTACGTTTTTATGTTAAAAAAGAAAAATATATTCTAAGGGCAGTCATTATGGAACATCATGCATTTATTTTCTTAAATATTTAATAAGATTTCAAAATGTAAGGTACATAAAGAAGTCAAGGCGACATTTCTTGCAAATTGAATTTTTACTTTTGTCACACTACATGTAAGCAATTAGGGCAAAGAAAAATAGAAATGTATATACGAATATAAAATTTACACTGAAAAATAAATGGTTGGGACATTAAATGCAAAAATATTCTAGAAAATTCCAGAGAAACTAAGTTTTTACTTCGTTACAAATAAAACATTTTATTTCTTGTAGGGGAAAAAAAAAAGAAATAAAAGCTAGACGCAAAGTTTGAAATTTTTTAACCCCCTTTTAGAAGTTTTAAAGCATGCGACGTTTTAATCTTGTAGCAGTGGAAGTTTTTATTTTTATTTTTTTTTAAACCGAAGTAAAAAAGTAAAGGATAGAGATTCTCTAGAATATTTTCCTTATTACGCGGTTGCTGAGATTCTAGATTTTTCTAAACTCTGTCGAAGTTCCGAGACAATCTCCACCTTTTTAACTCTAAAAAAATAAAATAAAATACTAAATTTAAAATTTTTTTTCCTTTCCAATACCTATAAAAATCCCACGCTTCAGAACATTTGTCATGAAAAATCTTGACATTTTTTGAAAAATCCCTGCGATCTTTCGAAAACATCCCCCCATTTAGGCGAGTTCTTATTTTCCTTTTTTGGTCAAAATGGGGCCTTTAGTTTGCTCAGTCGCTCACTGTATTATTTGTGGAAGAAGATAGTTCCATATTTTGTAAGAAAATATTCATGCTATTTTTTTGACATGTATGTGAAATAGAGATAGGTGGTTATCTAAATTTTATCTACAGTTTTTACAATCCGGTTCAATTTAAACTTTTCTTGCCAAATAAAATAACATTTATTTCGAACTTTAAAGTTTAATTTATGAAAAACCTGATATTAAATGTTTAAAAACTTTTTTGAAAAACAATGCATGGAAAGTTTTATTTATTTATTTATAAATTTTTTATAAAAAGCTTTTTTGAAAAACAATGCATGGAATGCTTGATTCATTTATTTATTAATTTTTCATTAAAATTTTTTTTGAAAAACAATGCATGGAGCGTTTTATTCATTTATTTATAAATTTTTTATTCATTTATTTATTATTATTTTTTGACGAAACATTGAAGTTTCATCTAAAAGACTAAATGATTACGACTTAAAGACTGAAATATACCTGACGCAGTTATTTACATCAAAATATAGCCTTAGATTAATTAAAGAGAAACTTAAGATAAAAAGAGAATGTTTTTTAACATATTTTTAAAATTGTATCTAGCAAATGGTCAAGACTAATTTCGTTTTTCTCAAAAATTACTAAATCGATTAAAAAACTTTTTCCTTTGAATCTTTTACTCTATCAAAAACTTTTTCCATAAAAAGTTTTTGAAATACAAAAATTTTAGAATATCTAAATTACTCTAGTGACGTAGAACTCTAAATTACATAAATATCTCTCAAATTATATAAACTTAGTCTTCAGTAAACAGCGTTTTAATTACGGAAAATATTTAATAAGTAAAAAAAATATTATTTTCTTTCTTATCAACATAAATTTCTTTTTCAGATGAGGCAGACAGATGGTGTTCGTGTCCTTTGAATTTCACGGGTCGTTTTTGTGACGTAGACGTTGACGAGTGTTTGGAACCCGAGATTTGTGATGAGCACCAAGTGTGCATCAATACATACGGAAGTTACAGGTGTGACTGTCGGCAGGGGTATGTGTGGGATGATTATAGATGCGTTGGTAAGCTTGCAATCTCTAAATTTATTTACTCAGAACACATACTGATAATCGAGTCTTGATTTTGTATTGGTTAAATATTAATTAAAAGTCAAAGCGATAAGTCTTTTAAAAGGCACCAAAATAAAATTTCGAGATGTATTTTTTAAAAGTTAATGTGATGATATCTTTTCTTAGTCGACTGATATTTAGCGTTACGGGCTTTTGAATTTAATCATTATGAAACAATAGAAGTTTAAATATAAATAATATTATTGTTTATTTCTTTTTTTACGCGAGAACGTGATTTAGAAACCCCCGTGTGACTGGTTGACTCGAGTGACCCCATAGACTTGTACACGTTAAATCTGTCTAGGTCACAAAGTCCACCAAATTCCCATATCAAATCAATATTACTGAGGGTACAGAAACGAAGATTGAATGTTCTCTGGTTCAGTCCAAACCTACGATCTGTGGGTGATTGAATGCGTCCTTCCTGTAAAACGGGCTGTGATGTGAGTGTGGCTGAAGTCATATTCTTGGCCGTAGATGGCGATACTGAAAAACACGAAACGAACCCTCTGCCTTAAATCGCTTGATTTCCTATAGCAGAATTGCTTTTGGCAAGTTGTATAAGTAAGTAGAGCCGCGATGGCTCAGGGGATAGAGTGTTCGCCTTCCAATGAGGCGAACCGGGTTCGAATACTCAGCGATGGATGGTCAAAACGAATCCGCATCCGGCTTAAACCGACCACAGTGTTGAAGTGAAATATCCTCAGTGGCAGACGGATCATGGGTTAGAGGCCCTTTGCCGTTAGGCTAGTCGTGGGAGGTTTTCGTCATTTTCTTCTCCATGTAACGCAAATGCCGATTATCTCCATCAAAAAGACCTAAATAAAGGCAAATTTCTCTCAATACTTGATCCAGGAGTTATCTTGTCTTTTTAATTCCCCGGCAATCTTCTATGAATAAACCATTACGTACATTCTCCGCAAAGCGGACACTCCCGTAACCGGACGCTGACAGTCATTTTGATCCTGTAACGTTGTTTATTATCTCTACAAACCGGACACTACTTTTTCTAAATAAATTGCAAGATAAAAAAATGCAACTTTTCACCATTTTTAAAGCATGTAAATAAAACCTTTTGCCTTATCCATAACTAAAAATATTGTTAAGCTATTTCACCACCGAAAAATCAATCTTTCTCCTGTCACCTTGCCTTATCTTTGTAAAGAAAGGAGAGAAAATGGTACTGCACTCCTGAAATAATTCTGACATCGGCATCTTTTGATCTTTTCATCTGGACCACA